TCCGCCACTAATCTGGTAGAAGCGCGCTCAACTTATTTTTCCATGCAGCGTCTTTGTCTAATACATCAATTTAGAAAAAAAAAAAAAAAAAAAAAAAAAAAATAGAAGTTGTCAGTACAATGAAATGCGACGAGAGAAAAAAATTAGTAAAATTCAGCAACATAGCAAACTGTCGGTAAAATTCAGCACCATAGTGAACTGTCGGTAAAATTCAGTAACATAGTGAACTGTCGGTAAAATTTAGCAACATTGTTAACTGTCGGTAAAATTCAGCAACATAGTGAACTGTTGGTAAAATATAGTTAAGAGAACTTTATCTTAAAATTCGATGAATTTTAATACTTAATTACAATATTTATACTTATTTGAACAGTTATTCAAAAATAATTATTTAGAATAACTATTTAAAAAAATATATAAGAATTACAATTTACACTACATTACATGTTAATTATAATTATGTTATAATTTTATTATTTTTCTTACTTTTTGGCTTTACCCCAACAAGTGACAATTAGGAAAAGGAGGAGGCTTGAACGTCCTTGTTAAATGCTCTTACACGGTGCTCTGTGATTCTTCTGGGAGCCTTCTGGGAGCCCCTCAAAAACTAAAAAAAAATTTAAAATACAGCAGCTGTATTGTAATAGTAATTTTGCTTTAATTATAATTAGAGCAAAAAAAGTGAAAAAAGTGCCTAACTACCTGCAAACTGCAAGTTTTACATGAAGAAAATTGCAAATAGTATAGGGACAAAACTGAATTATTTATATAGCAAGGTGCAACAATATACGCAAGTTGAAGGATAGTACTTTTTAAAATTAAATATTTGGGTTTACCTAAAATAATTTTCTAACTATTTCATAAATACTATGAAATAGTTAGACATTTCTGTGGACTTTCCTCTAGAACATTCTTATTAAGAGCGGTAACTTTATTTATAAAAAAAATGTAGGAAACATTTTCTCATAGATGGTGTCAAATTTTATGCTTTTTCAATGATGAATGATTTACTTTGTATTACCAAATATCATTACAAGTGTCTCTTTTTAGCTATATTATCAAAGTTTTTTTGTCACAGTTTAGGTTATTATTATTTATTTTTTTTATTGAAATTTATTTAGCTTTTTGCTATTAGCCTAAACTAGATATTGTGATGTTAGAATAATAGGGTTCTATGTGCCTTTTGAAATTTTGAGAGAATTTAACTTTTTCGGTTTTTAATTATTTAAATGCTTTACAGTTGTTATTGTTTATATTGATATAATATGTTTTTTATGTTATTTATGTTTTATAATGAGTCTTATTTTAAAACTGTTATTTTAAAACTATTATTTTAAAACTGTTTATAAGTTCGTTGTTAGTTTCCAACTTTATTAAACAAGCTTAAAATTAACAAAAACAAACAATTAGCTATTTTGTCACGTCACAATATGCTATTTTGTTTTATACCATTCAATATTACTTAATAAATAGTAAATAATGTTCTAAACAGTCAATATAGCAAATTTGATTCTTTTAATTTTTTAATTTTAAAAATTTAAGAGAACACAACGTTATATTGAGAGTTTTACAAACTTGTTATAACAAGTTTAATAAACTCTCAATATTACAAAAAGGAGATTGATCTCTATTATTTTAACGTTCACAAATCAATCATGATCACAAATAAATATACAATTATATTTATTAGTGGTCGGAGCAAGTAGACAAAAGGTTTTGGTTTATTACCAAGCACCTTTTTTATAAAGTAGTGAATTATAAATAATATATTATACAGACGCAAATATATAAATTAATAAACAATATATAACAGTGTTTTAAATAACTAGTAATATATAAAATAGCAACCAGCTGTTGATATAAATGCTTTCGTTTTTTATAGTGGCAAGAAGCGATTAAATGATAGTAATAAAAAAATATATACTGAAAGATATCATAGCTAATTCAGATTCATATTTAAAAAATACTTTTTTTAATATAAACACGGAGCTAATAGATCTAGTTGAGTGGCTTTTAGCAAATAAGCTTTATTTCGTTTTACCAATATTTTATAAATATTGATAAAACAATATTTATAAAATATTGTTTTATTAATATTTATACGGTTTTATGCTTATAAAACCGTCTGAGAATCTTTAAAGAGTTTTTTAAAGAGTTTTTTTATAAAACCGTCTGAGAAGTTTTAAAAGTTCTTTTGGGGCTCAAGTTTTTTTTGTTGTTCCCACCCTCAATTCGACAAGATCAACCATTTGATCTTGTCGAAGTTTTCTTTAATGCTGAAAGTATAAATCTTAACACCTCAAGCAAGTTTAATGTAACTTTAATGTAAACATTGTAGGAGAATTTTTCTCAAAATATTAAGAAAGAAAAATAAATTTAATCTTTACTGTATAAAGTTGACGAAACTGATTTAACGTTTCACTAACATGTATATACAGTAAGAACCGCCAACACTTCATACAATAAAGATCAAAATTTGTTGTTAACAGCAAAGTGCTATTGCTCCACTGTTTATTCTTTCTAGAGTATGATTTCACGGTTACACGATAAAAAAGGTCCTCATGGATGTAAGGGGTTTGCAAACCCATCTGTTAGGATGAACTTTTATAACACTTTTATAACATTTTAAAAACTGTTCTCGTGAATTTTCATTTTTGTTACTTCTAGGCCACCATAAGGGACATGTATCTGTTGAAGCTTTTGATCTTGCGATTCACCATGGAATTATAATGATAAGTTTTCCTCCCATTTACATTCGTGAATTGCAGTCATGATACGATTCAATAGTTCGCAAATTATTAAAAAAAAATTCTTACCATTTAATATACACACAGGATTTCAGGTATTTGACATTTTTTTTGAAAAATATTTTAAAGATGATGAATATTTACTATTGTCAGCAGCCACCGGAAATTGAAATGACTGTACCACATGTTAATGGAATAGAACCTGAGTTAGCTATAGCACATATTGAAATAAGTAATTTGAACAAAGTTTAAGAATTGTTTCAGTAATCTTATGTGAAGTTTTAGAAACTTACCCAAAAAATTGCTAGAAAATTGCTAGAAAAATTGCTAGAAAAATTGCTAGAAAAATTGCTAGAAAAATTGCTAGAAAAAGTGTTAAAATAAAGTAACTAAAATCATAAGTAACTTCGTTGCTACTCCAATAAGAAACGGAGTTTGTTTCTCAGAAGAAAATGAAACCAAAATAACAAATTAAATCAACTACAAAAAATAAAAAAAGAATTTAAAGAAAAATGTTGCATAAGCATAAAAAGCAGTTTAAACCAAAACCTGCTTAACAACAAAACCTGCTTAACAACTTGACTTTAACAAATAATGATAATCTTGTAAACTTTAGTCTTCTTGTATAATCTTTATATCTTGTTTAAATCTTGTATAATCCTTATATTGCCTTTGTAAACTTGTTCATACAGCCTTTGTAAACTTGTTTATACAGTCTTTATATACTTGTTCATATAGTCTTTGGAAATTTGTTCATACAGTCTTTGGAAATTTTTGTTCATACACACTTTGTAAACTTGTTCATACAATCGTTGTAAACTTAAAATAGAATGTTCTTATAGTCTTTATGCACTTTAATTTTTTTTTTAAACTTTTACATACATAGAATTGAGGAGGAGGGGGGAGGGGCTAGGAGGTTATAACTCTGGACCCCACAGTTTTTGGAGTCCTGATTCAAAATAAATTTTGTTTTTAAAAAACTTTGAAAATAAAATCTTTGAATTATGAAATGAGGCATCCTGCCTTAAAATAGCGGCAAGCCCCAAAAAATGCTTAATAATATAATATAAGTAATATAATAAAAATAATATATATAACAAAATAAAATAAATACTTCCATAACCAGTTTTAGTTTAATTTTGTAATTAATAAATTTTAATCTCTATTGGGCTGTTTGCAGTTTGCAACACGCTGCTACGACGATCAATGATCTTAATAAAAATCAATAAAATGCCATTAAAAAAAACATAATTTTTTACGTAAATGCTTTCTTTATTCATAATTTTTTTTTATGTACAAACGTTATGAAAAATTTTAACTTGATATAAAAAAGAAAATTTGGTTCTAATAACCGGAACTCGTGTTTATCCGGCTATTTTATAACTTTCAACTCAGAAATACTAAATTTAATGAAACTTAAACAAATGAACCCGAAAAAGCTAATGCATGATAAATACTTTTTCATTTAAAATCCTAACAGCAAAATTTAATTTTAAAAGAATTTTCGTCGTACGTTTTTGATTCAATCAGAAATAAATGAATAAATAAAAAAATATATAGAATTAAAAGCAAAAAAAAAAAAGAATATATATATATATATATATATATATATATATATATATATATATATATATATATATATATATATGTATATATATATATATATATATATATATATATATATATATATATATATATATATATATATATATATATATATATATATATATATATATATATATATATATATATATATATATATATATATATATATATATATATATATATAGGTTTAGTAGTAAAATAATATGGATTTAGAGCTAAAATAAAAAGGCAATTGATTTTTCTGCTTTTAAATTTTTTAAAATTTGTCTTACAGGGGGCATCGCTCCTACTTTGAGTCGAGGTGAATTTTAAACGGAGGTTTTCTAACAACAGTTAACAGTTCTAATAATTTAAGAAATTTTCGATAATATAATTATAATATCTTTTTCTCCATGCAAAATACGTTTAGGATGATCCAGACGAAAATCAGTGCTGTCTTTTTTAAGATGTTGAAAATTTTCCACAAAAAAGTTCTATGCAAATTGCAGGGGGTATTGAAGTATATAAAGAAATATATAGATCTTATAAATTATTCTAAAATGCTAAGAGAATTTTTATTGAATGCAACGAATAAGTTATTTTTAATATTCTTTGAATAATTAATCGTTTTCTTTGAAAGAATATTCATAATTTTAAATCACTTAAGCTATGTTTTATTTGAGATATCATGTAAAAAACCTCCGAATAAACTAAGTAAAATTAGTTATGAAGTAAAAGCGTAAAAAAAATAAAATGTGTTAGGACCATGAAACATGTCGATTGACCAAGGCTTGGGTATCGCAGCAGCTGATGAAATAAATTTTTCTGAAGAGCTCGAGTTTAATAATAAAGATAACTCAATTTGCGATAACGAAGTTTTGGATATCGCAGCTACTAACCAAGTATTACAAAATCCTGAGAAAAAACAAGAATGTAATAATTATAACACAGTAGGCGAAGTCACAAATGGAAGTGACAGCATCAACGATATTAAGTTCGATAACGACATATCTAACAAACATATCAAGGAAAAGCAACTTACAACAGATTTTTTAGCTAATTCGAAATCTAATGAATTAAATGAAGAACGATTTCGAGTTGATAGGAAAAAACTTGAAAGTCTATTACAAGGTATAGGTGTTATATTTTATGAAACCACATGAACATTAGGTTCGTATTATGTTCGCATTACACCACATTAGGTTCGCATATTGAAATGTTTGTTTTATAAAAACCAATATTTACTTTTTATTGTTTAATATAAATGATAACAAAAGAATTATTATAGTTATTTTATTATAAATAGTAATAATAACAATATTATTAACAACTGTAACTTTTGTTATTATAATAAGAGAGTGTTTAAATTATAAACAGTGACATTTGCTTCTAGTAAGCGATTGAAAAAATCTTTGTTATTATTCTACATAATACTTTTCAAATAAAAATAACAATCAAGATGAATTAAGTTTCAACATTTGTTTATTCTAAAGCTCTAATCAAGTCTAGATCTTTAGTCGAGTCTGGATATATAATATATATATATATATATATATATATATATATATATATATATATATATATTATATATATATATATATAAATTACTGTAAATAGATTATTAGTAACAAATATTAATGCCTTTAATGTAATATATACATAATATACATTTAGATGAAAAGACAGAAACATTCACTATTGATAATGAAACTGGTTTTTTTAGCCGGGTAAATATTTAATCTTTTTGAAATAAATAACCAAAGTAGAATTTTCAAAATTGCTTGTTAATTTGAAAGTATATATATATATATATATATATATATATATATATATATATATATATATATATATATATATATATATATATATATATATATATATATATATATATATATATATATATATATATATATATATATATATATATATATATATATATATATATATATATATATATATATATATATATATATATATATATATATGTATGTATATACATATATAAATATATAAAATATACATACATACATAATGTGTATATATGTATACATATTAATCTATATGCATATATATTTATTTATTTGTATATTTATATATTGTATAGAAATAAACACAAACACATACACACACACAGAAGTCCACACCAAGTTGTTAATTGCAACTTAATTTCTAAACAAATTACACAACCAAGTTTGCATTAATTATTGAAATTAAAAACATTTTATTTGTTACTCATTTCTATACTAAATTAATATAATAATTATTATTATTTAATTTAATTTAAAGGTAAATTATTACTATAATTAGTTTTGGATCTGTGTTTAACAAAAATTGTTGGGGCATAGAATTTTAATGATTTAAAAATAAATATAATGTAAAAGTATTATTAATATTTATATAATGTAATATTTTTATTACAATATAATATAATTTGTATTACATTTGTTATAATATAAAGAAATAATTATTTCTAAAATTCAAGTGTTCAATACAAACAAGACCATGAGAGTGGCATACAGAGAAAATTTTATAGATTAAATTAAATGATCAATACTGAATGGTCAATGCATACTTGTCTTGGTTTAAATTATATTTTTAATTTATTGTTACAGTGTTGTATCATCTAAATTAATAAAGTTATCTAAAATAAACTATTTTTTTGAATTAATATAACACAATATTTATTTTAGTATACTCATCCTTATAGGTAATACTACACATAAATGACTAAGGGTAAAAGGGTAAGTGAAAAAAGGGCACTACACATATAGTAAATGATTGGGGTTGAAATTTTATCAGGGTCAGGGGCAGGTTTGATGCATAAACATTGATACATCCTAAAGCTATTTTTTTAATTCAAAGTTTATGTTATATTTTATATATATATGCCTGTATACTTATATAAAAACATCATCATCATCAACATGATTATCATGATCATCATGATCATCATCATCATCATCATCATCATCATCATCATCATCATCATCATCATCATCATCATCATCATCATCATCATCATCATCATCATCATCATCAAGCTTTAGCCTTCTCCTTTTATGCTATTTCTCTAATATAAACAATCTCAAGCATATTCTTTTCCTACCTAAAGCTCATTCATACAATATGTAACTTGCTCTCTCCAAGTTTTCTTACTTTTACCACTACCACTTTCTCCTTAAGCTCTCTACACACTGATACCCAAATTACTTAATCTAATTTTTATTTGATAAAATGTTTTTATCTCTGTTTTAATCTATGTTGTTTTAGTTTTTTTCTAAAATTAGAAATCTAATCTAAGTTTACGTAGGGTGACCATTGTCTCGGTTTTAATGTAGGAAAGCGAAAAAGCTATACTATTTTTAATTAGTTGGGTGCTGCGCTCACGTATGTAAAAACTGGGACAACGGTCTATATACACACTATATACACACTGATTAAGAATTTAAACAGTCATGCAACAGTACTATAATATCAGTTGCAAAAAGAATCAAAGAAAAAAAAATTAATAAAAAGAAGTTAAGTGTCTATTTGAAAAATTAAAATATGCAGAATGTGTTGGTATCATGTGTGTTTAAATATGCAATGTTATCTCTCATTTCTTGCATATTCTCTCTATATATACATACACACATATACAAAAGATCCTGCAAAGGTATTAAATTATATATTGGTACCATTTTAACACAGGGTTTTTTTTATTATAGACCCAAAGCCCGCCAAACCCAGACCCTAAAGACCTTTTAGCTAAACAAATTAAATATGCATACCCAACCTGCTTGATTAACTGGTCTAACAGGACTGGTGGGTTTGGGTCTGTAAAAATAAAACCCAAACCCATTGGGTAATTTCTGGGTCTAGACCTGACCCATTCACATCCTATATATATAGATATATATGTGTGTATAAATATACATATATATATATATATATATATATATATATATATATATATATATATATATATATATATATATATATATATATATATATATATATATAACCCTTGGAATTAGGAAAAATGAGGTCGGCAATAATATTTTAAAGGTCGGCATCAGGTTGGCAAAAAAATGATTTGTTAAAAAGGTCTTACCATAAAAAACATAACACATAGAAACGAGGTCGGCAAATAACATAAAACATAGAAACAAGGTCAGCAATTTTTTGCCGACCTTAAACACTTTAAGGTTGGCAGTTAGGTTGGCATTTGCTAGTGCCGATCCTAATTCCAAGGGTTGTATATATATGTATATATATATTCATATATATATAAATATATATATATATATTCATATATATATATATATATTCATATATATATATATATATTCATATATATATATATATATATATATATATATATATATATATATACATATATATATATATATATATATATATATATATATATATATATATATATATATATATATATATATATATATATATATATATATATATATAAATGCAAATATTTTGGTATATCTTCCATGAAATGTCATATAAATAGCTGTTTAGGGCTTCAGTACTGAGTAACTATCAACTGAAGATTTGGGTTTGGGTAGGCATTATTTAGATATGAAGTACTTTTTTTATGGGAAAAAATATGTTTTCCTATATTATTCATTTTACTCTTCTTTTTCTGAAAAAAATGTTAAGTTTAAAGTTAATATTTTAAAACTTTAAATGTCCAGAATATGATATTTTAAAACTAAATATGTGCAGGAAACTGACCTAAACCAGTAAAGGTATTTATATATAGTTTTTGTTGATTTTTTCTTTTTTTTTTATGTTAGATAGAGCAGGCTACAAATACTAAGATTACATGGCCTACTAAATTAAAAACAGGAACCAGATCCAAAAAAGGTAATATATATGCATTTATATATATATATATATATATATATATATATATATATATATATATATATATATATATATATATATATATATATATATATATATAATTGTATATATACATATATGTGTCTGTATTTACTTATATGAATATATATATATATATATATATATATATATATATATATATATATATATATATATATAATTGTATATATACATATATGTGTCTGTATTTACTTATATGAATATATATATATATATATATATATATATATATATATATATATATATATATATACATACATACATATACATATAAGTATATATATTATTTATAAAATATATATTATTTGTAAAATAAATATTTTATAATTTAAAAAAAATTTATTTGAAAAAAAACATTGATAATAATTGCTTTTAAATTAATTACATTAATATAATTTAATGTTTTTAATATTATAAATATAATTGCAATTAAATTTATGCTACAATTATCCAATATTTAGTAAACTCAATAATTTGTTGTTACATGAATTTTAAATTTGTGTTTATGTTTTATTTAAAATAAAGGCTTTTTTTGAGGCATGTTTTCTCTGGTTAAATCACTTGCTGATTGAAAATCCTGGTTGGTATTTAGCACTCAACTGTTAGCACATAAACAAGCACTTAGTTCATGTCTGTTCTAATAGTTTCACATTGGGTACAAACAAGCACTCTCCTTCTTTAGTTTTATTAGGCTAGTATACATTAAGTTTTAGTATTCTTGTTCTCAAGTAATGGAGAGCTGTTTTTATGGTTGTTACAAATCAATGGTTAAATATTCAGGTCAAGTTTGATCAAATTTAAACACACTTTCATCTAGAAACATACTCAAAATGAGAATTTGTTTAGTTTAAAATGTTTGTAGTTTAATTAATCTAAATTATGATTTGATTAGTTGTCATGGCAGCTGTGAAATAAATTCTTGAACATTTGAAAATACATAAGATTTTATAGAACATTTTTGATGCAGACTTTTTACACACTGACTTGTTGAATTTAGTGTTTACTCCAAAGTATTATATGTTTTTTTGTTTTGTTTTTCTTGACTAACTGGATGTAAATGGCTGAGAAACATTGCTGCACAGTTTAAGTTACATTAAAATTAGTTGACAAACCTACTTTGTTGGGTATATATAAAATTTTATCTAAGTTTTATTGATTTAATTGGTTAAAAAATGCAAGAAGTTGTCAGTAATAATAAGGATCTTGAGTTAGTACAAGCTTTGCATTCATTTATGGGAAATCAACTTTCTCCAAATCCATCACAGATGTCAGATTCAAGAAAACATATATTTAATCATAGAAAAAATCAAGTTCTTCATCAACAATACATGCAACACCAGAATTTTGAACAAACTCAAGCACATTTAAGATTGCAAATGCAGCAGTTTGCAAATGTTTTTCCAACATGCCAATTAATTCCATGTTAGTATTATTTTTATGTTGGTATTGTTTTTATGTTAGTATTATTTTCATATTAACATTATTTTTATATTGATATTATTTTTAAAAACACGTAACATTTGATGCTCCTTAATATACTTTCACATCCCATCCACAATATAACATTTTATACTCCTCACTTTCGCATCATATCCACAATATAACATTTGCTTCTTTTTTCATACTTGAAAAACACTGATGAGTATTTAGATTTACATCACAAATTACTTAACCATTTTTCATTAATTTTTCAATTATTTCACATGCTTGGTAACCCTTTTCAACTTTTTAATAAATAAATCTTTAGTTTTAACTTTCAAGATGTTCTTATAAACAAACGTTTTTGTTGTTGTTATGCACAGTAGTAGGATATTTTTTCCCCCCAAAATACAAAATTTTATTTTATCATGTTTTTTTGATGTCTTTTTTTTATCTTAAACTTTTAGAAAACTCAAACCTAGCTCCATATCTTTCAATGTGGAGTTGATTATTACTTGCCCTTGTTTTTTTAAGTTTAATTTTTTTTTAGTATTATATATTTAATTAATTTTTTGAGATAGATCCTTATATCAAAGTAGCTGGTCTACCAGAGGACAGATTGGCTGCCAAACAAATGGTTCTTTCTATTATGGATACTAAGGTTTTTCTTTATCTTTATAATTTCTTTTCATTGTATAAAGTTAAATTAATAAGTTAATTTTAATCTTTAAATTTTTTAATGTTTCTTTAGTCAACCAGAGTAGCTTTAAAAATGGACGTTTCATTTGTTGACCATTCGCATATTATTGGCAAAGGCGGGAGCAGCATTAAAAAAGGTGAAAATATTTAACAATTAATGACAATTAGTAATCAGAATAAAAAATCTCAATATTATGATAATATTTATTGTATCAATTTTTATTATATAGATATATTTTTTAATAACAAAAGCAGATAATATTGCCTGCTCCTTCCAAATCTTGAAAAACGCATTGATTGCTGCACTTGCAGACATCCTAATCTACCAACTGTGCACCTACTAAAACCCAGCATACACACTTTTTTTACATCCATCTTTATTAATTCACGTTCTGCTTTATTTTTATTCTGCTAATAATCCCTAACTTAATATTCAGGAATTTTATTTTATTTTACTTCTTGTACCACTATACCACTACTTGGTAAAGTTAAATGTGATTTTATTTTACTTTTTGTACCACTATACCATTACTTGGTAAAGTTAAATGTGATTTTATTTTACTTCTTGTACCACTATACGACTACTTGGTAAAGTTAAATGTGATTTTATTTTACTTCTTGTACCACTATACGACTACTTGGTAAAGTTAAATGTGATTTTATTTTACTTCTTGTACCACTATACGACTACTTGGTAAAAATGTGATTTTTAATTATTAAACTTCAATCATAACTATTAGCTACAAAGGTTTGGAGATTTATTTTAAATTGGTGTGAAACAAACCTGTTAAGTTAGTTTCTAAAAAGTTTGTTTCTAAGAAGAAAGTTAGTTTTAAAAAGTACAATAACAAACACTTATGAACGTTGATGTAAAATATCATTAAAACCCTTTTCATAATTATTTTTAAGTTTTTTTTTAATCTTTTTTTTAAACCTTTTCATACTTATTTTTATATAAATTAACTAGCTTAACAAATGATAAAATAAAGTATAAAATAAAAGCATAAAACTGATATTGTTTGTTATAATCATTCAATTTAAAGAAAACTACTGGCTATTATCTAACCCTTATCCTATACTTTCCTCTATCTTTTTTCTATTTATCATTTGTGTTCATTTAAATTGATTGAATTATTTTAATCATTTTTAATTATTACATATTTTTGATAATTAACTTAAGAATAGTTAATCAAAATAATTTGCCCAGGAAATAACCCTCCTAATAGAATTAATCAAAATTTAATCAAAATAGTATGCCCAGGAAATAACCCACCTAATAGAATTAGCATGGTTTGTAAATTTCTTTATACTGTTTACAAGAACAGCTTACTCAGCTGCTTCATGATTAGTCTGTAAATATGAGTGTGTTTTTTTTTAAAACATCTTCATTTCCAACAAGGCTGCAAGTAACCACTATAAGAGTTGGAAGTTACTAGAAGAGAAAAGATGAAATTTATAGAGCAAGATAACAATTAACAGATGACTTGAATGATTGCAAATTATATGAATCAGAAAAACAAGATGAAGCAAGCGAGTTCCAAAGGATTGATGTTTGAGGAAAAAAACTAGACAAATAAGAATTTTTTGGGCATTTAGGAACTGTCACAGTAAAATGATGAGACATCACTTTAGTGAAGTAGATGTTAATAAAGTATAATAGTGCAGCTATCAGTAACTTTACTGTCAACATTTGAACTTCAGGAAATAAAAAACTATTATTATGTATTGTCAAAATCCTAACATGTATTAACAAAATTTATTTACTTAACATTTATTACAAAATGTTAAAAAATAGCCTAATAATACAGCAAGCAAGTCGTTTCTTTGCTAAGTATTGTAATCTCAAATGCGGAGGTATAGATTTAACCAAATAAAAAATAGGGATTAGAAGGAATTTCGCAGCTTCAAAGAATCCAGATTTTAATTCACTTTTAGTTTATATTAATGAAGCTCCACCATTTAATCAGTTTATGTTCCTTGATAAAATTGTTAAAATTATAAAACTATAAAAATATGTGATTGGTGGAAATTTCATAATGATCATGTGAACCAGGAGTTACTGGATGTTCTTGATTAGTTATTTACTACTATTTTGTCTGCAGGAGTTAAAATAATATTTTTATTATTTGGTCTTATACATTCCAACATAAGAAATTGACAATTTGTAATTATACTGTTATTAATATTTACTCACTTTCAATCTATTGTTTACTGTCAAATTTTGTCTGCACAAATCAACATTAAATTTTTCTTTTATGTTTTAAATTAGTTTAGTTATCATTTTGCTTTTATGATCAAAACTAAGTTTATATTTTATGATTAAAAATAAGTTTTTATTTTTATGATAAAAGTTTATATTTTAAAAACCTAAATAAATCTAATGTATATTGCAAAAAATCAGATTATTTTTGTTTTTAAAAATAAAATAAAAATAATGTGGTATCAACCCTGCTATCTACTATGGAAAATAATACAAAAATTAATTTTTTTTAGTGATGAGAGATACTCAATGTCACATTCATTTTCCAGACTCTAACAGAACCAGCTCTGAGAAAAGTAATCAGGTAATATATTTATCTATTTTCTTTTTAAAGACTTCATTAGCTCGGCTCTCAAGTCAGAGGTCTGAGATCCACTCTACACATTTTTTTTTTAAGTAGCTCAACCTGTTTTTAAATTTTTTGACTCAAATCATTTTCTATTGTTTACGTTTTCTGTCATTTTCTTGCTTTTTAACTCTAGTAATTTTATTGGTTGATTGCAGTCTTTTATATGTTCTAGAAATTTTATTGGTTGGTTGCAGTCATTTATACTTTTTTGTAATTCTCAATTTTATTGGTTGGTTGGAGTCTTTTATACTTTTTTGTAATTCTCAATTTTATTGGTTGGTTGCCTTCTTATTTGAATTAAATTCAAGTTTATTTTTTAAGTAATATTGAATTAAAACCTCCTATATATGTTAAGTTATTCAACAATGCAAATCTAATTTGAACATGTGAAATTGCATGGTCTGTAGCAGTTGCAATTTTAAAATAGGACAAATAAGTTCTTTATGCTATATGTAAAGTTTATAAGTTTATGTTTGTTATTAGTTTATTTATTTTTAAACTTTATTTATTACAATAATTTATGTTTGACATATTTTACTACTGTTGTTATTATACTGCTATATTGCAGGTTTCTATTGCTGGTCCACCATTTTGTGTTGAATCAGCAAGGCAACAAATTCGAGTAATAATAATTTTTTATTTAATTTTTTTTTTTTAATTTTCGTACTAAAATGAATTTTTTTTTTGTCTCAATTAATCAAATCCAAGTAAAAATTTTTGTTTAATTTCATTTTTCAAGAAATTTTGTAATATATTTTTAAATGATTTTTTTTTTATTTTGTTAAATCAGGAACTCCTTCCTATTGTCCTGAAGTTTGAGATTCCTTCATCAGCCACAGTTGTTATCCCAGATAGTTCATCACCTGCTATTCTGAATATTGCCCAAAGCCACAATGTGACGATCTCATTTCAACAAGTTAGTCTTATTTTAAAGTTGTTTCATTTAAAAAATAATTTTTTTAAGAAAAGCAGATTTGAAATCATTTTTGAAAAAAAAGAATAAGGTTAATTAAAAAAACATTCATTTCATTCTTTTTAAATATTAAGCATGGAGTGGGGACAGGCAAAACAGAGGCTAGTATCTAAATGAGCTTACAAAAAAGTTTTCTGAACTTTTTTATTTTAGCTTTTTTCTAGTCATATAATCTTCTTTTAATTAGATTTTGTTATTTTTTTCTCACATATTACTTATAATATAATGTCTTATATATAATATATTTTTAGCTTATAATTTTTTTTAAATATTGTTTTGATAGTCTTCCTATTTATAAATTTTACCATTTACTATATATTTTCTTTTCAAAAAAAAAAAAAATTAACCAAACCAACATAAGTATGCTTATAACAGTTTTGGTGATTAAGTTTATCCATGTGCAGCCATTGCCTGTTTTATATATGCTGAAGGCGTGCAGAAATATTTTCAAATGTACATACCTGATGTACAGACCTGATGTAGTGTGTTGCATACTAATTTTTTTTTTCAGGCATGCTGTGCGATTTTAATCATTATTAAATTTTAGATTTTAGTTTTGACATCACTATTAAAGATGTAAAAATATGCCTTTACATGACTTTTAAAAAATATATTTATGTTGTCTTAACATGACTTTTTAAATATATATTTATGTTGTCTTGACATGAATTTTAAAATATATATTTATGTTGTCTTGACATGACTTTTAAAATATATATTTATGTTGTCTTGACATGACTTTTAAAATATATATTTATGTTGTCTTGACATGACTTTTAAAATATATATTTATGTTGTCTTGACATGACTTCTAAAATATGTATTTATGTTGTCTTGACATGACTTTTAAAATATATATTTATGTTGTCTTTAGATCACTTTTAAAATGCATTCAATAAGTTTCAAAGTAAATTCTTTTTCTTTGTGAAGAAAAACTTTTTAAATCTAGAAAATAAAATATCTAAGTTGTGCTGAAAAATATAAACAAAATGTTTTATTTTAAAACACAAATAAAAATTAATAACAGTCTGATTCCGATGTTGAGCTAAAGTTGCAGCTGCTTTTTGTCTTTCTGTTTAAATAATAATTGTTTCTTTCCTCCGCAAAATGAAGACAAAATTTTTTTATTCACAAAAGAAAATGTTGTTAAGCTCTTTGAGATTGATTTATTAACTTTTGCTGCAGACCACATTCTTAATAACTCTTTTGCTGCAGACCACATTCTTAATAACTCTTTTGCTGCAGACCACATTCTTAATAACTCTTTTGCTGCAGACCACATTCTTAATAACTCTTTTGCTGCAGACCACATTCTTAATAACTCTTGCTGCAGACCACATTCTTAATAACTCTTTTGCTGCAGACCACATTCTTAATAACTCTTTTGCTGCAGACCACATTCTTAATAACTCTTTTGCTGCAGACCACATTCTTAATAACTCTTTATAATCTTCACACTAAACTTAAACTTTCTTGAAATTTGTATACTTTAAATATTTTCAGGGTTGTATTGTTAAACAGTTACACTTCTTTATAGAATATTCTAACCCTAAAGTTTATTTTAAATATTTTGATGCAATAAAAATTTTTAAATATACAAAAGGTGAAAAAAATTTTTTTACTTATATAGTAAAATACTTTTTATAAGTTTTAAAGTTTATTGAAGAGTGGGTGTAATATTTATAATTTAAATTTCAGAGGGAATTTTATCATATTTATATTTTTATGTTATTACCTTTAAAAACAGTTAAATTGTGGTAAAACTTAATATAACAACTTAAAACTTAACTTTAAAAAAAAAAATTTAACCTGGCTAGTTAAACTTGTTAAATTCATTAATAATGTGCAGCCCTAGCCACAGGTTAAATAGTATGCTTATAAAAAAACTATCTAATATAAAACCACTTAAAAAGTAGTAATGTTTTGTATTTTTATTGCAAATACAGAAAAATATATAGAACTTGTTAAATAATTCATTTTATAGCTGGTTTAAATGAAGTTTAAAATGTACTAAAAATTGAAAAAAATCTGGTTTGTGCTCAAAACTCTACCAAAGAAAAAATAAAATAAAGACTAAATAAAAAGGATAAAAAATAATTTAAAAAATAGCGTAAACATGATCTAAAGAAAGTTAAATTTCTTATTTTACTTCAAAATTTTTATTCTTTAGTTTAAATCTAGTAGTTTCAGTAGTTTTAAAATTGTTTCAAGAAAATTCAAAATAATTTTAAGAGATACAAAAAAAAAATTACCAATTTAATAGTATTGAAATCTGAACAGATAAAGAAATGCATCCTTGAATTTCTGCATTGAGTAAAAGCAATACATTAAAAACACAATATATCAATTACATTAAAAAAGTATTTACCGAACCTTGACTAACAAGTTGGGCTGTTGACTGAACAATAAGTATAAATACAATAAAAAGTACAAATATCAATTGTTTAGTTAAAGTGGAGCATAGTATATATTTGGGTCTTGTTTTTATATTTTATGTCTGAATAATTAGTTTTATTGAATGTTGTTTCACTGTTAAAAGTTTTTTGAATGTTGTTTCACTATTAAAAGTTTTAATCTTACTTATATTGTGGCATTGATGCTGTTCCAGTGCTGGAACAATTTCATCAGTTATGTAAATAAAATAAAAATAAACGTTTTGTTTACATTTTTGTTAGTTTATTCTTCATATTAGAATCTTATTTTGCATCTAATTCTAGTGGTTTGAAAGTCTTTAATTTAAAAGCTTGTTTAATGTAAAATTGACCATGGGAAATGTTGTTTGATGAAAAATTGACTATGGGTGATATTGTTTGATCATGCAATAGTTAAAAGACTATTGAAATACAAATCTTAAAATAGAATAGTTTTCACTGAGCTGATTTCGTTTCCAATTCAATGTCATAATGTTTTTTTTTTCCAGAATTCATTTTTTAAGTCATAATCCAACCCTCCATATTTAGTAAAAGAATTTTTGAGCTGAAGTCTTAATTATTCTAAATATGAGAATTTAATATAAAATAATATTCTGTACACATAAAGCAATGAAGCTCTCTCATATATATCATGATACACACGAGACAATGAAGCTCTCTCATATATATCATGATACCCACGAGGCAATGAAGCTCTCATATATATCATGATACACACGAGACAATGAAGCTCTCTCATATATATCATGATACACACGAGGCAATGAAGCTCTCTCATATATATCATGATACACACAAGGCAATGAAGCTCTCTCATATATATCATGATACACACGAGGCAATGAAGCTCTCTCATATATATCATGATACACACGAGGCAATGAAGCTCTCTCATATATATCATGATACACATGAGGCAATGAAGCTCTCTCATATATATCATGATACACACGAGGCAATAAAGCTCTCTCATATATATATCGTGATACACACGAGACAATGAAGCTCTCTCATATATATCATGATACACACGAGACAATGAAGCTCTCTCATATATATCATGATACACACGAGACAATGAAGCCCTCTCATATATCTCATGATACACACGAGACAATGAAGCTCTTTTATATATCTCATGATACACATAAGACAATGAAGCTCTTTCATATATCTCATGATACCCATGAGACAATAGAGCTTTCTCATATATCTCATGATACACATGAGACTCAATCTCTTTCATATATCTCATAATACAGATTATCAATCATCAAAATTTGTTTTAATATATAAAATCATTAAGATTATTTTAATAAAGTTAATTTACATCTATCCATTTTATGGTCGGCAAAATACCCCGAAAAATGCCGGAAATTGTTCCGAAATTGTTGGGCTTTGAGCGCAAGGTAAATCTATTAGGGTAAATACGCTAATTGCTGGCCATTAACCATTTACTGTTCACTTTTAAAAGCTTTTCTCAGAAAAATCTATGGCATAAAATGTCCTAAATTATTATTTAAACTCAATGACTTTATTAAAACTTTCTAAATATTGCAGTTTCAGGAAAATTCTAGCAGGTTTTAGTCGTTAGAACTAAATGTCAAAAACATTAATGGTGTTGATGCATCAACCTTTATTTCTATAAGTGTCAGCATGCCAAGCTCAATGTTTATTCCGTTTCAAAAATTCAACTTATACATTTTTAATAATTAGTTATTTTAATAATTATTCTTTTTGAAGTTGGACAAGTTACACAGTGTTTCAAATTTTTACAGAATTTTTGTTCACCATAAATTTTTTGTTTATTAATTGATTTTCTTTATTAGTTCCAAAAATCTAAAAAAAAGTTTCTTTATCATTGACAATAAAGTTATAGCATATTAACTGACAACTATAATGTCAGTGCCTCAATATATATGAGAGGTTGTTAGTTAGCTTTACTTTTAGCCTACAGGACAAACATGGGCTCCTCATGTGAAAGTGGAACCTGCTAAATGTCTCTAGCAGGATGGTTACAAAATAGAAGAAATACAATGCCTTTTGCAAATCCGATAGTATTATAACTATAGCAAAGATGTGGTAGAAACTTTTTAAATAAAACAACTGTTCAGCCTAACTTTCCAAATTAGATTGAGGTAGATAATTTGATCAGAGATTTAGGTCTTTCTAAATAACAAGTACTATTATCCAAGCTTGGATAGGAATAGCATGAATCGAGCACTATTGCTGACCACACAAATGATTTTATTTTTTGAAAACTTTACCATGACTGTTTAGATGTTTAGAAGATTTTTAAACATTTTAATAATGTGCTAAAAAAAGAAACAGTAGCTAAACTAGGAAGAAAATTAAAAAAATAAGATAAAAAAAAAGAAAACACCTCCTTGCGAAAAAGAAAATATGCGCTAAAATAAAGCTAAAAATAAAATTATCTTTTGAAACGTTTTGTTAAAGTTATGCAAAACGCTTTTTAAACAAATTACTTCTAATGATTGTTTAATGAATGAACAAATTTTATTTAAATTACTAAAAAGTATTATATATATATATATTTTTATATTGTATAAACATTTATTTTCTTCTAAAAGTTGCACAAAAAAAAGTTGTTTAAACAAATACTTTAGTCTATTTAAAATAGTAATTTTTTAATCATTTCATGTTCTGATTAGTTAGTCAAGTTTTAAAAAAAAAGTTTTAAACAACTCTTTGCAAAAATAGAAACAAAAATAATAAAGCAATTAAATCATTCCATTACAATGGAAGATTTAATTTACCTTATTCATAATTTAAAGGCTGCAGGATATGTTTACTGGAAATGACATAAAGAATTTAAAACTTACTATGGCTTGTGTAATGATCTATATAATGTAAAGATGTGATGTGACATGCGGTATAAATGTGATAATATATATGATAGTCCTTGCTGTAGTGCTGTAGTGTATCAGCCTTTGGGGAGGTAAATTTACATTAAAAAAAATATGTCCTGAGAACTTCAAGACTACCTAGAGTAGATTTTAAACTAATCCTTAAATAAGATGGCTGTATGACCTATTATTCACATATAGAAAAACCAATGTAGCACAAAACAATTAAAAAGTGACATCTTAGGTCTTATTTATTTAAACAGCCATGTTATTATCAGGTCTCAGAAAAAATTTAAAATTCCAACAACTAAAGATCTAAACCAATTTAAGTTTTTTAATAAAGCAATAAAAATAATAATATATACTATTCATTTCATATTTTTAAACTCTAAAAGTATAACCCATTATGCAAAAAGACTGAAATGTAAAATATCATTGTCGAGTCTGGCGATTTTGACAATTTTTTTATTTTGAAAAAATTAAAGATTTTAATGCCAACAATTAAAATCTTTTTTTCCTTTCACCAAACCAAAAGGTTGTGGGATTACATTAAAATAATTTTTCTCATACTGTTCTTACAACACTCTTATAACTGCAAAACACATATACCTTGTCAAGCAAGCTGTGCAGTCAATTATCTAAATTATGCAATAAACAAGCTGTGCAAGTTAAAGCTCTAAAAAAAAAAAAAAAAAAAAAAAAAACTAAAATAAAAGCACTTAAAAAGAGCTTTTTGATTCTTTTTATTTTTGCAACAATATTAAAAAAACTCTAAAGTTTTTATAATGTTGTTGCTAATATTGTTGGTCAAACATTATGGAATATGAGTATTCTACAATCATCAAAACTCATTACTTATGCTTAAGGCACATTAAATTCTTGCCAATATAAATTTGCTAAAAATAACTTTTCAAATAACAGAGCTTTTAGAAAATAGTTAATAGATAGTTCTGTATGAGCAATGTATAACAATTTCAGATGTCAGTAGTTAATATTTCTTCATTAGTAAATGTTTGTTGCATAAATATTCTTAACATGAACTACTTTTTTCAAAATGTTTTTCTAAACAGTTAAATTTAAAATATTAATTTGTTTTTAAATTTTTTTTTAAGCAACAGTGTTCATATGGTTATGTAGCTAGTGTTAGAGGATTGCATTCGGATCCATTTTCAGTTCGAGTATGTTTTTTTTATATTTTTATATATACAAACTGATTTTTATCTGATTTATATACACACACAAGCACACACACATATTGGCAATTCCAAAAAACTTGAGTTAAATTTCATTTCGGTAATAAATTCACCCTTTTTTTTCCAGACTCAAAACTTTTTAAACTATTTGTTCTTCAGACTCTGTAGAAATACTTAACACAGAAATGATTTTAAAGTTATATTTTTTGAGAAATTGCCCATATATATGTATATATACAAGTATATGTATATTTATTTGAATTAAATATATATATATATATACATACATATATATATATATATATATATATATATATATATATATATATATATATATATATATATATATATATATATATATATACATATACATATACATATACATACATATGTATATATATATATATATATATATATATATATATATATATATATATATATATATATATATATATATATATATATATATACACTTTTACAGGCTTGGTCGGGAAGCGAGTGCAATCGCACTCGATAATTGACCATGGAAATAATATTTAGTTGCAAAAAACCGGCCAGATCTTTTAGTCATTTTGAGAGCATTTCAAAAACAAACAAAAAAGCGCAATAAGATTAACTGGACTGATGAGAGACAGTTAAAAAACTTTTAACGCAAAAAAACATTAAGCAAAATAAATTTATTAGAGCAATTATTTTTGAAACGTCGCTCTTTTATAATTTTTTTTATAAAATTAAGCGACATTTTTTAAATAAAGTAACAACTTTAAAGAAACAAATGTTCTTCCATTTATCAAAGAGTATATATAATTTTTATTTATATACTTATGTCTTATTTCTAGTTGCGGATTGAGAAGGTGTGGCGGGAGTAGTAGGGCTATAGCCCTGGGATTCACAATGTTAGGGGAAATAGTCAAGAGAACCATTCGGTATTTTTTTAAATCATTTTTACGCTGTGGCACAAAAAAAAGGCCGCCAAAATAATGCAGCCCCCGACCCTGAAAAGTCCAACAAGATTCAACCAATAAAACTAACGCTAAATGAAATATTTACAAATAAAAAAGTTTTTTCAATAACTGTTTTATGCTTCGCGTAGTATGCTTCGCGTAGTATGCTTCGCATATGCTTCGCGTAAAAAGTTTAACACATTTGAAACAATTCGTCTTAGTAAGATGAACAAATGAAATAATTAAATCATTGAGTTACTGTTGAAATTCAATTAGCTAGATAGAAATTAGCTAAAAACGTTAAATTACTTTGTGAGGAGGAAGCGGAACTGCTTCACAATAACGCTGATGATGTTTAGTGAGTGGGCTTTATAATTTTAATTAGTATTTAAAACAGAAAAAAGTAACTTTAAGTATAACGAGTTTGTAAGAATGGCTGAAGCAAAAATAATTGAAGTTAGTAAACCAATTTCTAAGAACTTAAAAACTTTTCTTTCTTGGGGGAAAGAATCAGTTATCGCATACACTGAGGAAAATGGATTAGTGGTTAAAATCATTTGTATTAACTTTGACGATTATTAATAATTTCATTGAAAACGCAGTTATTGTTGAAAGTATTTTTGTTTACAAAATCAATCGCACAAATTGTTTTAAAAGATTACATTTGAATAAAATAGACATACATAAAATTACATAGATAAAGATACATTACATACATAAAAATACATTACATACATAAAAAATACATCCCTTATATATATAAAATAAGAATATACCAATAAAATCTATAATATATTTACAAAACGTTGACAAGTTAAAAAATATAAATTTAAAACATTATTGTAAACAAATAATGTTAGTTTAAAACACTTATAGCTTTGTAGATGTGGCTCTAAGAATTAAAATAATAGTTCGTTTAATAGCATATTTTTAAAATAATTTATGCTAGAAATCTCACGAAAATGTAACAAAATTCAAATAATACAATTTTTAAAAATATTTCAACAGAATGCTTAGTATATTAAGTTAGTATTTTCTGAATACTCTAGAAATTTCGGTCAGTATTTTTCTTAACCAATAGAATTAGTTGTTCGTAGATTTTGCGGGTTTTTTGTATTCGGGAATATTCTTTTTTTATTTTTCTGCACTAAGATGTTTGAGAACATTCAAGTTTATGTATGTCTCCATGTAAGTCCGTAAAACAAAATATTTTAAAATTTATGATAAAATGATCTTATCATTTTGCGGACAAACAAGGAAACATACATAAACTTAAATATTCTCAAAACAACTAAAAAATCTGGTCGGTTTTTCGCAACTAAATATTATTTCCGTGGTCAGTTATCGAGTGCAATCGCAATATATATTTAATAATAGTGCTTGCACTATTATTAAATATATATGTAAAAAAATTAAAAGTGCCAATTATACATATGCTGACTGAAGTAAGGGAGCTGCCATTGTGCAGTAGTTAGATTTCTGTCTCATCGAATTGAGAGGTCTGAGGTTTGATGCTGCCTCTAGCCAGATAAGTAATATTTGTTAGGAAGTAGGATTCAACTTCCTGGTTAAATGCACTTTCTATGTTGCTCTGTGATAATACAATTAGGTCTTTTGAAACACCTTAATAACTATTAAAATAATGTATATAGATATTGCTACATCTATCTCTAATTAAATTAGTCAACTTTCAGTTTAATGATTGCTTTAAAAAATAATGCAAAATCACAATATTATTAGATCAATTTGATTTTTTTTTATTCATTACCAGTTTTTTGCCACAACTGTACAAGGTAACATTTATGTATAGATTTACAATGAATTTTCTATTATAAAATGCAGTCTTTATTGTATATTTCAACAAATAATGTAATTTTTATTAAATTTTGTAGGATGCAGTTTTGAAAGTTCTAGAACATTTGACTGGAATGGTGCCTGTATGTTTTTTTTTTTTTTTTTTAAATTTATTACTTTAAGATAACATTTAAAATTGTCTTTAAATAATTTAATTTCGTTAATATATTTAAAATATTTTCTTTTCAAGATAACTGTTCCTGTAACAACTCAGTTAGAAGTTGACCCTAAGCATCATATGTATGTAATTGGACGCAATGGTTGTAACATTAAGAAAATTACTCATTCTACCGGAGCAAGGTCAGTATACAAATTAAATATTCCTTTATATCAGTTTAAATTTTTAACAATAAATATGCCAAGAATAATAAGTAGTATTTATTTTTTTCTTAAATTATATATTTTATATTTATATAATGTATAATTATATATTTGATTATATAATTATATAATTATATAGTTTGTTATATAATTATATGTTATATAATTATATAATAAACTATATAATATAAATTTTTATATACATGTATATGCATTTTGATCTTTCTCAAACTTCAATGTTAACTTTTAAATTATTTTAGTGTTCATTTCTCTGATCCTTTTGATCCAGCATCACGTAAAAGCACTGTAACAATCACAGGATCTATTGAGGCAGCTGTTACAGCTAAAGTGTTTTTGTTGGTATGTGAGTTTTGACTATAAAATATAATTCTGCTTGAAAAATTTCTACAGTTAAAATCTATGTTGACAAAATCTACCCTTGAAAAATAAAAATATTTACAGCAAATTATTCACTACTCTAAAATTAATTTTTACAACACTCAATTTTTCTCATTCTTATAGTCAGACAGTACACATTTTTTATTATTATTTTTATTTATTTTTTACACATTTTTTTAATTTGTTTTTAAACTTGCTTAAAACAAAACTTCTGTCACCCGCTTATCGACCAAGCCTGAATATGTGTACAATTGGTATAGATCACACTCTATATCTGACTACAAATATAATATTTAGTTACAACAACTTAGCTACAGCTAAGTTGTTGTAAAATACGCGTAAAAAAACATGACATGACTAGTAGGATACAATTACTAAAAAAAGAAATTCTTAACAAAAAAAAACTTAATCAAAAAATATAATTTACGTTAACAAAAAAAATAGATTGTAATGTTGTAATTAGTGAATGAGAAATTTTTTCAATGGATGTAAAATAGTCACACGTCCTTATTTCAATTAGATTTGCAATTAAAAAAAAAAAAGGTAAGTTGTTGCCTGTTAACAGCATTGTTAAAATATAAAATAAGTTTTTATTTTGTATGAAAAGTTAAAATTAGTTTTAAAAAACTAGAAATTATCAAGTGATGATCTTTTTCAGTGTCATTAATTACCAGGTGATGATCTTAAAACAAAAAAAAAGTTTTTGTAAGTCAATTGTAAACCTGTTAAGTATTATTTTATTATCATCAAAATAAGGTGATAGGTGAAAAACTACAGGATCAGATTTTCTCAAATGGCTCTAGATAATCTTTTATCTAGAGCCATTTGAGAAAATCATAAAGGTTCCTCTGGTATTCCCATTGTTACAAATAATCTTTTTAAACCCCCTACCTACAAGTCATTATATTAACTTTGCTCTTAATTTTTTCTAGTAAATACAACAAATAAGGACATGTACTTATATATATATATATATATATATATATATATATATATATATATATATATATATATATATATATATATATATATATATATATATATATATATATATATATATATATATATATATATTACTTTTACAAGATATTTGTGTAAATTAAATTACAGCTCTATGACCATGTATTTTTATGACCATGTACTTCTACTATATAAAAGTCCTAGTTTTAAACACTTTATCACCTAAAATTTTAACAAATTTTGTTCTCTAAATAAGTTTAAAAAAAAAAAAAAATGAAATAATAAAAAAAAAGATTAGAATACTAAAAGTTCTTATAATGAATTGTATTCTGTGTCAATGTCTTAAAAAAGTTATTTTTTTGGTTTGTGTTTTGAAATTTAAAAAACTTAAGTATAATAAAAAATTTCAATAAGTTTACAATGAATTTGTGTAAAAGAAATATATATTTTCCATTCTGTATAATATCCAGAGCTCGAATTAACACAAAAAAGTCTAATTGTAAAAATTCAATAAAACAACATTGCAAAGTTGTTTTGGTAATATAAAGAGCATGTAATCAAATCAGAAAAACATGCAAGTAAACTCAAAAAAATATTAAACTTATTAGGGGTTGTCCATAAATTATGTTACGCTCTAGGGGGGAGGGGTTAGTGGTTTTGTGACAACTCGTACAGGACTTGTTACTAAAGAGTTACAATTTTGTGACAAGGTGGAGGGAGGGTGTCAAAAGTTATCAAAAAACGTAATAAAAAAAGTAATTTATGGACGACCCCTTAGCTATTACATTTTTTTCTAATTTATTACTTCTTGATCTAGCGTGCTATTAAAAAACTAAAAGTATAATTAATTTTTTTACTAAGAAGATTTTTAAGTTAATGTTTTTATTCAATTTTTTTATTCACATTATTTGCAATAAAATAAAGTGAGAAAAAAATTTACTTTAATAAGTCAAAATATATTTCCATAAGTTTATTTATGCTTAAATTTTATTTTTTAAAAAAATTTTTTTTTGAACTGAAATAGAATAACTTGATTTTTTAAATTTAAATTTTTTATAGTTTTATTTTTATCACTCATATAATGTTTTCTATTTTTTAAATGCTTTTACTTTTTAAACTATTTTCAAGAAACAAAAAATAATGACATCTTTACAAAAAATATTAAAAATGCTTACGATTTAAACTTTATTCCTCAATTGCACTATTTTTTTTTTAATGATATTGTTACTCTAACTAGATCTTTATTTGATTTTCAGAAATGATCCTTACTAGCCACTGAGTATCAATGTAGTTTTTATTCAATTAAATTTATAATTATTGGAAGCAAACATTAAAAGTGTTTTAAATTTTTTTAAATTTCAAATTCAAGATAATTTAAATAAGAGAAAAAACAATAATAGCAAAAAAAATCATAAAAATAATTTTTTTAAGAAAAAACTAAATGCGAAGATGCAAAAAGCAATCACAATTTGCAATATGCTTAATTTGAGCCCTGACATCCATTTGAAAAGCTTCAATTATTATTAACATTTACATGCATGTAATTCAAGAAATATATTTAAAAAAGTTTTATCTATAAATAAAAAACATAAATATTATTTAGTTTTCCAGCTTTCTTTACTTTAATTCTAGGTTCACTACTTATTTTTGACTTATTTTTCTAACTCTTTTTCATGTAACAAGATAATAAAATAATGACAAATAAGGCTTTCTTTTAAAATATAGCTTTTAGCTTTCTAATAATTAAGTTGTTGTATTAATTTTATTTAAATGTGCCTTCAACTTTTATTAACCTAATAGATTTGGTCAGTGAAAAATAATAAGTATTATCATTGTGTTGTTTACATTATGCCATGCTGCATTTCATCATTTTGCAATTTTAATTTTCCTTATTTGTAATTATGAAGTTTCATTTGTAACTATTCAGTTTTATTTATCATTATTATTTTAAAAGATAGTTTCATAAAATTTTTGCCACCATTGCAAAAAAGTCTTCTTTTTTTTTTTTTTACAAATAAATACTTTTGAAATTACATATATATGGGTTGAAGCTTATTTTTTATTTTTTTATTTTAATGTTTATGGTTCCATGGGCATTTAGCTTAAAATAAGTGTTTACCATAATGCCATTTTCTTATTTAAAGCAGTTTGAAAAGTTATTTATATATACTTATTTTAAAGATTTGTTTATTAATTTTTTACAAATATTTTACAAAAACTTGAAATGGGATTGAAGTAAAAAAATGTTTTATAGGTGTTGCTGTTACACTGTGCTGTTAATTTATTAATATCACTATCCTGTTAATTTATTAATATCACTTTTAAAATATTATTTTGAAGTTTATATTAAAAATTTTTTTTAATGGTTTACAACAGAGAAAGTAAAAAGAGCGAGAGTATATAAATTATTCTTTAGGAATATTGACCAATGATTATTTTTAAGGAATATTTACCATTGGTTATTCTTTAGGAATATTTACCATTGATTATTTTGTGGGAATATTTGCCATTGATTATTGTTTAGGAATAATTATCATTGGTTATTTTTTAGAAATTTTTTCCAATGATTTTTCTTTAGGAATATTTACCATTGATATTAATGTTTGATGTTCGAGATGGAGAAGCAGATTCTAGATTAGAAGAAGGTAAATATTTTAGTAAATAAAATTTTACTTTTAAAGTTAAAGTATAAAGTTTTAAATGTAATGAAGTTTGTTGTTGTTGTTATTATAAATTTAAAAAAGACTTCAAATTTAAAAAGCAAATCAAAGTAAACAAGCAACATTTAAAATGGTCAATAATCCTTTTGTAATAAAAACATGTATAAATTCATCAATCCTCTATATAAACCATTTGACTTATTTACTATATTACCAGTTTACAATAGTTATTTTTTTCTTTAAAAGAAATATATTTATTTTGGCATTAAAGCGTACAACCTTTCAAATATATTTTATTCGATGCTATTTTGAAACTTACTAAATATAAAACACATTTTTTTGGTTTGAAACTTGTATAGTTCTAAACATTTTAAAAGCATAATTAAGAATTGATTAAGACCAAGATGATCATTTTATTTGTCCATAGTCCCAACTAGTCGAAACTAGTCCTAACTAAAGTCGAAACTAGTCAAATTGTGACAATGATGAATTTATCTCTAAAATTGTTGTCCTTTTCTTTTTGGTTTTTAAGATACTTAAGCAACATGTTTGGCACTTGCAGATCCCAAATCATATGCTGCATCGACTTTTTTACAGTTTGAACTCCCCAGGAAAGCAAATTATTCCTAAATTAACAATTCCACAACATTTTAAACCCTTTAAACTTTTTTCTTTATTATTTTTCTTGATTCAACTGATATTAGTAGTATCTTTTGATATTTCTGAAACATCTAAAGTTCATTTTTAATAAGTTTATCTAAGCAAATAAATATATACATTTTTAATGCAGAAGCTTTTATTTTATTTTATTTAAATTTACTTTCTATAATATAAGCAAAACTAAATTTTAATGACCGTATGAATTACAACTCAAATGCATTATTTTATTTGTGTAAAAGTAATTTAACAGTAATTTTATTAACTAACCTAAGAAATTTGTTTTTAGCTATTTATCAAGGTATTTTGCATTATTCTTTTTCAAACAATAAAGGTTTTTATAACACTTGCTATAATAACTTTAGGTAGGGACTTTTGATCAGAACTATATGAAACTTTGTTGATATTTTATTAAAGACTTTAAAATAAAAAATATATACATTGTTAATCTCCATTTTTTAACCCATATGATCTTTTTAATCTCCATTTGTTGATCCCCATTTGTTAATCTCCATTCGGTAATATCCATATGATAATCTCCATTTGTTGATCTCCATTCAATAATATCCGGTTGTTAATCTCATGAAACCTATACATTGTTAATTAAGCATAACCGTTTGGCGGTCCATTAAAAACCGTTAATTTCCGTTGCGTTAAAAAAAGTTAATGAGATTTCTGTTAAAATCCATTACGTTTAAATTTATTAGCTGTAATTTTCTTTTAATGGCCGTTAACTTATTTTAATGGATTTTAAATTCTGTTAAAATAAGTCATTAATTTAAAAAATCAACTTACTGAAATTTATCTTCTTTTTTTTTTTTAATAAAAAAACTTATTTAAATTTAAATTATTTTAAACTCATGTTATAAGTTTAAGAAATGTACAAAAATGTTTTAAATTTTTCATTAAAGCTGTAAAATAGTATTTTTATAAATTTTTATTATTGCATTTATAAAATTAACTTATGAAAAAGTTTTATAAAATTTTAGCTTATATAAAATTTTTTTAATATAACGGACATTAACGGTAATGGACAGATTTACCAGACAGAAAAATCAAACGCCCATGCTTATTGTTAATCTCCATTTGATAATCTTAAATTGATAGTCTCCATTTATAATCTCCATTTGTTATTTACCATAATCTCTATTCAGTAATATCTGTTTGATAATCTCTATTTGTTAACACTTAAGTCAATGTGCAGATGTTTAAATACAAAAACACTTCTGATTAAGAAATTGACAATATTTTGTTAAAAACAGCAAATACTTTTAACTAAAAATTATTCTTTTATTATACATAAGTGAGTTGCTACCACACATATATAGATGTAAATTTAAATTTGATTGATTTTAAATGGATTTAACTTTATTTGTTAAAAATATATTTATTTTTACAATATTTCAAGAGAATATTAATACCCTCGTAATATTACCCTTAATACCCTTGATTGTTGATTATTGATTGTTGAATATTGATATCAAGTATATTAAAAAACTGTTACGAAAACTAAAACCTAACAAAACTAATTCAGAAATAAAATCATTAATAAAACTGTGTTTGAATAAATGTTATTTTTTATGGAATGAAGGAATTAACAAGCTTGTAGTTTCAGATCCAATAGCAATTTCACTCATGGTAATACTTGCGGAAGGTTTCCTGCATTTTTTTAAAAATTAAGCAGTTGACATGGTGCTTTATTCTAATGCAGAAACAAAATCATTTTTTACTGAGATAATAGCCATGCACAAATTAGCAATAAAGATAATGCCATTCATTTTTAACAGATATTAAACAGTCAACATTATGCCATTAAATACACAATCGAATTGGAAGATCAAAACAAAAGATGAACATTTTTAGATATCAAAATAACAAAAAATCAAAAAGGTAATTTGATTTTAACGTACATTGTAAAGAAACAATAAACAAATATTTACGTTAGGTACAATTCAAACTATAATCCAAAAATCTTGGAAGGAATTTATCTATAGAGCTTTATCAATTTGTTCTAAAAAAATTTGTAAATAAAAAAAATTAATTTTCTAATAGATGTATTTTATTTTATGTATTTATTTATTTATTTAACATCTTCGCTTCCAACAAGGCTTCAAGCAACCACTAATTAGTGTTGGAAGTTACTGGAAGAGAAAAAATGAAGGTTGTAGAGCAAGATAACGATTAAAAGTTGACTTAAAAGATTGCAAATTATATGAATCAGGAAAGCAGATAAAAGAAGTGAATTCCAAAGAACTGATGTTTGAGGAAAAAAACTAGACAAATAAGTGTTTTTGGAGCACCTAGGAATAGTAACAGAAAAAGGATGACACTTAATTGAACGACAAGTAACACGATAATGAATTTTAGTAGATGGCACAAGAGACGCTAGCTCTTTTGAGCAGTGCCCATTATAGTATTTATAGAAAAGAGAAAAAGAAGCAACATTACGACGATGTGATAAAGGTTGAAGGTTGACTGCAAGAGCAGGTCCAACTATGTTTACAATGCGTTTTTGCACCTTGTCTAAAAGAGAAAGGGCATCATTAGAAGATCCGCCCTAGATATGGCAACAGTGTTCCATACAAGGCCGGATTTGAGATTTATAGAGATAAAGAATAGAATCCAGAGTAAGAAAGTGTCGAGCTCAATAAAGAAATGCAACTTTAGCAGATGCTAATTTTGCAACGGATTTGAGATAAGGTTTCCAAGAAAAATCAGAAGTAAGAGTTAATCCTAGAAGATGAAGGGTAAATGACTCATCGAGTACATTACTGTTCATAAATATAGGAAGGTCTAAATTATTGTGATAATGATTGGCTGAAAAAAATTGAGTTTTATCTGAATTAAAGTTCACCAACCACTGTGAGCCCCATGCTGTAGCAGAAGTGAGATCCTTTTCAAGCTCAAATGCCCCCTGCAAGCAATTAGAGGAAGTTGGCTTCTTATCGTGACAAGAATAAATGGTAGTATCGTCAGCGAACAATGCCACCTTAGATGTGAGAATATCTGGAAGATCGTTAATGTAAATTAAAAAGAGTATAGGGCCAAAGATTAAACTTTTAGGAACCCCTGAGGTTACAGAATAAGAAGAAGAGTGCTGTCCATCAAGGACAACTTTTATACTACAATTGGATCAAAAGCAAGTTTCTCAAGACCAAATCCCACTACAGGACTTCTTTTTGTTGAAATCTTCTGAACTACAAAGAATAATTATGACCTAATTTTGCATTACTTGATATTTTATATGATAAATTTAGGGCTGTAGAAATGCAAAATAAGATGTCATTTTGCATGTTTATGCAAACAATAAAATATGAAGATTCAAATGTAAATAGTTGCCAGGGCGTTGTAATCTGATTTTAATATTTGTATCTAAGTGATCTCCATAGCGTGGGCTATTATTCTACTAAAGGGTTTCTCCAGGTCAGAACCTGTTTTTTAACACTCAGTTAACAGTTAAGGTTAGAACCACTCTAGTTGTTTAGTATTAGTCATCAGCAGCAAGTTTTTGTTCTTTGACAAATGGAAGGACTGTTTCATAATACTGGCACTTACAAACAAGAGATATAACTGAGACAAAAGACAGTAGCTCTTGCATTAAACTATATTTTTAAAGTTTAAAATGTTAAAACTTTTTCAAGTTAATGTATTTTGGTATTTCATGAAAGAATGTATGTATGTACTTTATCTCTCTAAGAAAAAAATAATTAGAAATATTTGTTAAGATATTATATTTCTGTTAGTATCATCATCTTATCAAGCAGTTCTTTTATTAAGTTTTTTTAAGTAGTTCTTTTAACAATGTACTTAAAATCTAGTTGTTTTTTTAAGTAGCTCTTTTAACAATGTATTTAAAAGACTAGTTGATTTTTTTTACAGGACCTTTGAATCAAATGATGGATAGTCTTGGTGTAAATATCACAATTAAACCGAAGCCAAGACAGTCTTGCAAAGTATACATTTTTTTTTTTTCTTAAAAATGTTTTTTTGTTTTTTGTTTTTCTTTGTACTCAATAGGATAATGAATTTTTTTTTATAATTTATTTTTATACAAAAATACAGTTAATAAGCTATAAATAATTTAAATATAAAGTGTAAATATATACATAAAAGCAGTTTAATTCCTAAAGTAATTAATAGTTATAAATTGATAAAGAGTCAAGGAATTTAAACATTTTTAATGTTTTCAAATGGTTTGTGAAAGAATTTTGTCTTCTGCTTTTGTTTTTCTACCTATGGTACACAATATTTTAATAAATTATAAAAAAATATAAATAATAACTCTCTGAGCAACCATGCGTAAAAAATCACCATGCTTAATTTTTAAACAATTACTAATTTTAACTTTTAGAAAGGTTGCATATAGAATACTACATAATAAAATCTTTTGAAATAGCCAATTTTCAATATGTCCAGATATAGAACTATCCTCGACATTTTCTGTCTTAATGTCTGGATTATGTCTTATGTCTGGATTAAAACTGTTATCAATATTTTTTAAATAATCTAATGTCCAGGTGAAAAACTATAAAATTGGTAACTACTACTAATTGAAATTAAAAAAAAAATTTTATGGATCACAAAGATCATACAATTAATTGGCTAATAATTGGCTATTTTAAAAGATTTTAATTAACAATTTAATTTAAACATAATTGGCTATTTCAAAAAATTTTATTATGTGGTATTCTATATGCAACCTTTCTAAATGTTAAAATTGGTAATTGTTTAAAAATTAAGTATAGTAATTTTTCATGCATGGTTGCTCAGAGAGTTATTATTTACATTTTCTAAATATTCTAATGTCCAAATAAAGAACTATCCTCAACATTTTCTAAATATTCTAATGTTCCGATGAAGATCCTCAACATTTTCTAAATAAAGGATTTTATTATTTAACATTACACAATTAGAATCAGACCAAGTAGTATTTTTTTATAATGAAAGTTATAAATAAAAATACTTAAGTTTTTTACTTAATTAAGTATTTGTTGGTTGTAGCTTGCAAAAAAGAAAAAAAGAAAATAAAGTCAGTTAAAATTGTGATCATTTAACTGGTGCCAGCAGTTAAGTGTCTCAATCTTTTTAATTTTCTCTCTATTTAAAAAATAATTTTGAATTTGTTCTGCAAATTGTTTTTCTTTAATTGCTGGTTTTAAAGATCTTTTTATCCTCTCAGTTTGTACAATCTACATAAATTACAAGTTAAATTAAGTATCATCTTATCACCTACTAACCATTTTTTCCTACCATCGACTAGCCATTTTTTCTTATTACCTACCACCCATTTTTCTTACCACCTACCACCCAATTTTATTAAGTTAAACAAAGTTATAGTTTAAGAATATATTACAAAAAATGTTTTATGTTTTTTAAGAAATATAATTTTTTTTATATAAGATTTTGAATACCTAATAGATATTAATAATAATTTTAAATATTATTAATTTTAAAATTTTTCTTATTTAGTCTGTTATTATCAAAGGTTATGAAAAAAATGCATCTAGTATATATAGAGCACGCTTACATTTAATGGGAGAAGATCCTTCTAATATGCCTTTTTTATCTTCGTCTCTTGCAACACTGGTCATCCCCCCACCTATGGGAGTTCCATTTCATCTTTTAAGTAATGGATTAGCTTCTCAACCCCTTTTCCGACCTAAGTTTTTAATGAATAAAATTCCAAGTCCACTTACTCCACCTATACAATCCTCCAGTCCTCTTACTGGTCAAGGTCCTGTATTATCTCCAGTTAATGTCTCCAAATCAGTGCTGGAATCAAATTTGCAAAGTCAACGAAGCATTGGAAGTGAAATCAAAATTAAGCGATTGAGTTTTGATGGTTTGATTGCAGAAGGTTTTTATTTTTTTATTTATTTATTTTTTTTTTTTTTATTTTTTTTTTTTTTGTTATTCACCTCCGAGAAGGCCACTACCGACGAGGAGACTACTTAATAGTGGTTATAACCCTCTCTCAACTCTATAACTCCGAAGCACGAACCTTGACGAACAAGGCTGCTGCATGGAGAAACAAGTTGAGCGCGGTGTTACCAGGGATGTGGTGGGGATCGAACTCGGAACCTTTCGCTTCCACTACATCGCTACCACATATTACTGCAATTATTATTATTATTTTTTTTAATGTATTTATAACATATATTTATGATATATACTTTCTATTATAACCTAACTTTTTTTTTCAGATGAAAGCAATGATATTGATGGATTAAAAGGCAATTTCTCTGGAGGTTTCTTAATTTACATATACCTTGTAATAATGAAATATTTTCTTTTTTTTTTATACGTTGGTAATAATGTAATAATGATGTAAATAGTTATTTCCTAAACTGTTTGTTATTCAGAAATCTTAATATTAACTGATATTAGAATTCTCCCTCAAAAATTATTATTAATTAATATTCCCCCACACAATTGCATTTCCGATTAATGTTTGTAGTTTCCAAAAAGAAAAGATATACAGGAAACATGAAATAAAATATTTTTTTTAAATACTTTTAACAACACATTTTTAACATAACTCTGTATGTATGTATGTATGTATGTATGTATGTATGTATGTATGTATGTATGTATGTATGTATGTATGTATGTATGTATGTTTGTATGTATGTATGTATGTATGTATGTATGTGTACTAAGGATATTCAAAAAACAACTTTTTTTAAAAGTGTCTGCTGTTCTATATAATAAAATACTACTGGATTTAAAAATTTTTTATTTAAATAAAAATTGTTTTAAAATAAAAATTGTTTTAAGAGGTTGCTACAGATTTTTCAATTATATTTTATTATAATTTTTTATATAATTTCGCTTAATTTGAGATCCAACATGACATACTTTTTAAAAAAAAATTTTTTGATAATATTAGGGACCCATTTAATGGTCGAGGGTTCATAGCAACCCCTAAAAATATTTCTCATTCAAAAAAATTTCAAATCCAGTATCATTTTATTATATAGTACACATTTTTTTATAATTATTCTGATTCACTGCAAACAAGGCTGCAAGCAACCACTATTAAGTTTGGAGTTACTAGAAAAAAACTTAGATCTATAGCAAGGAAACAGTTGACAGAAGACTTGAAAAGTTGTAGATTGTATGAGTCAGGAAAACATGAAGATGGGAGTTCCAAAGAGTTGAAGAGAAGACTTTTTGTCAATACAGGAGTATAAAGTTGAGTCATCAGCTAACAGAGCCACATTAGATGTAAAATTGTCTGGAAGATCATTGATGTAGATAAGAAACAAAACAGGACCAAGGATAGAATCTTGAGGTACCCTAGAAGTTACTGGAAATTAAGAAGAGTGCTGGCCTTTGAGGATGACTTTTAGGATGATATTTAGGGTGTGCCAGCAGACATTTTCAAGAAAGTTGGTTTTTGAATCACCCTAATATATATTGTTTGAGATATATAAAAAAAAACTAGATTTATAAAAGTTTTTTTAGCATGGCGAAAAAGTTACAGTAAAAAGGGTGCTAAATGACATTCAGCATAGTTAAGGAGAGATCCAAGGAAAAATATAGTGTTTAGGCGTTTTCGTTTTCAAAAAATGCTGTTTTATTTTGTGTGCGTTTTGATTGGTTCATTTTTTTACAAAAATTACAAAGCTCGTTGTTTTATATTGTTTACAAATATTCTGTGATTTTATTATCTACGAGTTTAAAGTTTTAGCTTGATACTATGGGGCAGAAGTTATATAAAAGCTAAAACGTTTTTGTTTAGTCATTTATTCAAACGACTATAAAGAGATCATGGGAGTAAATTGCTATGAGTAAAACTTTGATTTTAACTTTTTTTACATTTTACGGAAAGATAAAATAAGAGGATTTTAGTCATTCATTGAATATTTAATGTTGTAAACAAGAAGTCTTTTTACTTTCGAATAAGAGGCATTTTTGGAATGTAAATACTTAACATATTTGTTTCAGCTGTTTTTATGATGCTGCCCTGTCGCTTTTTATGCATTTTAGTGGTAGTTTTGTAGTTTAAAAAAAGATTTATAAAAAAATAATAAATTATGTAAGAAAAGCTTAAATTCTACTTTTTAAAAATATATAACAGTAATAGTCAAAAAATAAGTGGAAAACACAAAAAAGTGAGGTTTAAAAATGTAAACTTTTGTTTTTAAGAAATGCAAATCGTTTGGATCTCTCCTTAACTACGCTGATCATGTGAGATTAGATAGAACGAGAGTTTAGTGTAGGAAAAAAATGATTTTTTGAGATTGAAAAAGTTGTGTGTGAGAGATCTACATCGCTTAAGCAGTGACCATGGTAGTAATTGTAGGAAAAAAAAGAAAGAAAGTAGAAAAAGATGCAACCATATAATAGTTAATACATACGCGCAAGTTTGGGAACTAGAGCAGGTCCACTTCATTCACAACATGTTTTGGGGTTATGTCTAAAAGACTATGAGCATAATTAAAAGGACCAGCACAGTTTTCTGCTTACTTCTAAAGTTTTTGCCCAGAAAGTTTTCTACAAGGCAGTAGCTGCATGTTAACATCTGTCCAAGACAATTATTTTTATCAAGACACCATTTCTAGCCTAAACTCAACCAAGAACCCTAAGGCCTGGAGAATTTTATATCAGAGTTACAAGACAGAGAGACATTTGCCAGGTTATATTTGATTACATGTTACTAACAGCTGATCATGTTGATCTTAATTCTGACATGACCTGTAATATTTATTTTTATATTTTTGATTATTCTTATAATCGATTAATTAATTAGTGTTGGTATTGGTATTGGTCTTTTTTTGTCCATCGGCATTGGCTCAGTATCAGCATTTGTCAAATTGTGCAATTGGTACATTAAATAAATATATATATATACACGCGGGCGCATAAACACACATTGATTGGGATAACTTTGCCAATATGTAATTTATGTTCTTTATGCACCTTTAAAAACTTTTATTTATTATATTTAAATTTATTAAATTAAGAAATTTTTTTTTTTTAGATAACTTGTTTAATTCCAGAAGTTCAGAATTAATTATGGATTCTTTGGTACGTATGTTTTTTGTTTTTGTTTTTTTTTTTAATGATGAATTTTTGCATTTAAATTCAAGCTTAAAGTATCTGAAAATGTATTAACAAATGCAACATTGTAGTTCAAGACTTTTTTGCATATAAAATAAAATCATTTTCATTATTTATCAATGATTTTACGATAAACATTTGTCAGAATTTATGGGTACACTACTATTTTTGTATTAAAATTTTTAGAACACCAAGAACACAAGTAACAAGAACAATAATTCTGAAATATTGAGTAAGTTTATTTAATTTTACTATTTATTAAAAGGTTTATTTTTATTAGAATATTTTATATATTTTTTCTTTTATAAATATTAAGTATCAAGTGGAACATGGGATTCTAAGACATCATCTACATTGTATGTTTTGTTTTTATTGTTATAATTAGTTTTATTATGTAATTATTTATATATAATTTTGTTCTTTAAATAATTATACAGAATACTAAAAAGCAATTTTCTTTGCTTGATTTTTATTGAAATAAGTTTTAAAACCAGGAAACCAGAGTGTACTAATTCTTCGGGAGGTTCAATTGACTCTGGATTAAGTCATTCTCAAGAAGAATCTACCGAAACATTGGCTAATCAAATGTAACATTTCTTTTTTATTTTCTTATTATGTTTATATCATAGTATTTTAATAATTTTAAAATAAAAAATTTTTATCATCAAATAGTGCAATGAATCTGAAGAATAATCAAAAAAACATTGTAAGAAATATTTATTTTTATTTTTATTAATATTACTTTTTTTTGTTACATTTTATTTTGTAACAATCTGTTGTTTTTTTAGTCTGATGACTATGAGATACGTGATGACTATGAGATACGTAAGCAAAGAGCAAAAAGCGGTATTTAATTTTTTTATGATTCTGACTTGTTTTGAAAACATTTTAGCTTTTTTTTTTTGAGGTGCTAATACATTTAATTAAAATTGTTAGCATTATTTGCAATTAAGTGATGTATTAAGTGATATTTAGAAAGGGAAGGGTTAGCGCTAAAATGCATTGCTAAGTTGTGTATATGGCTAAATTTACAGTAATGGCCAAAAAATTAAGGCACAATTAACTCAAATTTTGCAGTGTAAAATGTTGACTGAATAAAAATAAAAATAAATGCAATAATAAAATAAATATAAATGCATATAAAAATAAATGCAATAAAAAACAAAATGTAAAATAAATGAAAAAAAATAGATAAAAATTATCATTAATTGTTAATATTCAATAAAATAATAGTTATACCACCAAACTATAGAAAAAATACAGTTTAAATGACTTGAATGTTATAGTTCAATACTTTGTCAGATGTCTCTTATTATCAAGCCCGGCTTGCATTCTTCTTGGCATACTACGTACTAATGTTTTACAAAATTCTGGAGTGATTTCATTAGTCCACACTTTTTTAAGAACTTTTTGAAGATGTTTTTCAGATTTTAGCTGATGTGCTGCAACTTTCTGCTTCATTTTATTTCAGCAGTTCTCGATAACATTAAGATTGGGTGAACTTGAGGGCCAATTAAATAATAATTCAATTTTATTATAAGTAAACCACTTCTTAACTGTTTTAGCTGTATGACAAGGTGCTGAATCTTGCTGAAAAATACTGGTTTTAGTAATTTCCATGTGCAGTTTCACTTTGTTTTTCAATATAATTAGATACTTTGGATTCAGGTGTTCTTCCACAGGTCTTCTAACATAATTATAGTCCGTGCCTCTAAATTGTTGAAACGTACTATCTTCTGTAAACATTACGCGTTTCCACCATTCCGGTGTCTTGTCTTTTAAACTCTTACAAAATTTAATCCTAGCTTGTAATTGAGCTGGAGTTAATAAAGATTTTTTAGCTGGTCTTTTTGCAACTAGACCAAAGTCATCACACAACCTTCTTCTAATAGTAAGTCCCCTTTTCATAGCAAGTTGTGATAACCTTGCAGATGTTGTGTGGGGCTCACTATTAATAACATTCTTTAAAAAACAGTCTTCTCATGATGTACTCACACGTTTTCTACCACAATTTTTGCAATTTGATGAGTCTTGCACAGGTAAAGCATTTTGCATGGCACATCTTGTTATTTTTAATTGTTTTGCTATACTACTTTGAGAATAACCCTCCAAAAATTGTGTATTTATTTTATCAACCTTTAACAAAGTTATTAATATCGCGCTTTTTACCCATAATATCACTCCTATAGCAACTACTGTAAAGGTGAATAATTTTTTTAATGAACTTTTAACCTTTGAAATTAAATTCAAAATTTAATTACATTTTTTTTGCTGTAGTGTTAACATGTGTTTTTAAATTTTAGTAAGACTAAGTTTAATTTTACCAAGTTGAGTTTAAGAAAAAAAGAAATTTGCATCCATGGTTACCTGTCACATTTTTTTGCTGTACACAAAGTTTGCCATACTATTTTTTTAAAAGATTACAATAAATTTTACTTAAAAACTAATATTTTAGAATATTTTTAACAAAATGTTTACTGAGCTTTTGATAAAGTACAAATAGTTTTTAATAACCAGTTGTCTTTTGTAAAAATAGTCTAACTTAAATTTCCTTCATCTTGAAGAGAAGTAGATTTGAGCAATTTTGTTCCAAGATTATCATGGCAATTGTTGTCTGTGTATTTTAATAAATTTTAATAGGTTCAGTAAAAAATACACTGATAACAATTTCGTTGAATGCAATGTTTTTTTAAAGTTTATAAAAATGTTGTTTATAAATTACAAATATATAACCATACACTCTCTATTATAATTGACCTTATGCATGCAATTACATTGGGATAAAACCAGGGATGCAAATTTGGAGTCTGGAGTACTATCCTTTTTTTTACCCAGAGATTGGAGCCCAGTCCTTACCCAGAGATTGCAGCCCAGTCCTTAAACTCTTTTTTTACCCAGAGATTGGAGCCCAGTCCTCTTTTGATCTCTAGAGTTTTGAAAATTTTATTTAAACAAAAAAGCATATCCTAATTACCTGCTTATATTTTGTATAAGTTTATTGATTTAAAGTTGTTTCTTTGATGTTTATTATTATCTAAATTTCAAATAATTATTAAGCACAAGTTTCTATACATTCCAACTTTTTTTGATGCCAAATTGTTTAACAAAGCATTGCATCAAAACTAAACAGGGTAAATGCGTAGCAACTAACTAAATACATACTGCAAGAGCGTATTCTTTTAAAATTAAAAGTTATAAAATATTTACAAAAAGTAACAATGACTTCCAAAAAGTAACACTGACTTCCAAAAGTAAGATCTAACTTTAAAGCTTCTAAATTACACTGCATACAACTTGTCAAATAACTCATACAGAGTACAAGACTTGCTGTCTTATTTAAAGCAAATTATTTTAAAGCAAATATTTTAACAAATTGAGTCAGCATTAAAATACTTATAAATTGGGAAGATACGATATTATAGAAAAAGTTTTTTTATATAATATAATTGTTTTAATCTAAAACCTCTATTTAACTCTGTAAAAAGTATTAGAATCTTTTTCCTCTTTTGCATTCATTGTTAAATTTGTCTGTTTTCATTTTATCTAAACAAATTATTTCTTTAAAAACTATTTTAAACTTTCCAAGTTTAAATTATAATATTAAAGAAAGCCTTTTTTAAAAACATTTTCTAATGACATTGTTGGAACTAATATTGTTTTACTTATTAAAAAAAAAAGGTATAAAAATTGTTATTATAATTACTTTTATTCAATCAAAACAAATATTTTATATATATATATATATATATATAAATATATATATATATAATAAAATATATATATATATATATATATATATATATATATAAATATATATATATATATATATATATATATATAAATATATTTTATTCTAATAACTTGTTCAAATCCTAAAAAAGTTGAATTAAAATTGTTGACATGGCACACTATACACATATTATTGCATACATAGATGACCAAGAGAGTCATCCAATCAGGCAGACGTAGGGGAGGTGATTTTATGATTAGATTGTCGATAGGTTGTAGAGCGTTTCAGTAAGAACCCAAAAAGCTAGATGTACTATGACTCATTCTTAAAGAAAAAATAGTCTTATGTGAGTGAATGAGAGGGGAAAAGTTCAAAAGTAAGAAAAACTTATATAGAAATGGAATAAAATCACATGTGTTGTGAATCTTTTTAGATATATATTGTAAAACTCCGAGTTTGATCCCCACCACGTCCTTGGTAGTGCCGCGCTCACCTCGTTTCTCCGCGCATCGGCCTTGTTCATCAAGGTTCGTGTTTCGGAGTTATAGAGTTAAGAAAGGGTTATAACCACAAATAAGTAGCCTCCTTGTCTGTAGTGGCCTTCTCGGCCTTGAGGAGGTGAATTAAATAAAAAAATAAATAATGAATACACAACTCCAAATAAATGAGCCATTGCATGATAGTTGTGCTACTCTTTGTTTGATTAAAAAAGAAAAATGATACAAAATATTGCTAATCATAGTATCTAACTTAGTAAAGAGTAACAAAAATACCCTCTGCTTGATTTGATTTGGATTTTGCAGAGATTAGCAGACTTGAAAAATAATGTGGTTATCCAAATAAAAAATTACTATTAAGTGTGAACTATATTACAGATTAGTTAATAAGTGTGATATATACTGAAGAATTTATAATAACTGAAAAATGTCAGTTTAAAGCAATACTTTTATCAGAATAGCCTTAAGAATACTTGTGAAAACTGTATGGCTTGAACAATAACAAATTGACTTGGGTACATTAGATGGAAAAAACACAATAGGAGCAATAGACATGCAATCGAATGGAACAATGGATCTAAGTAATCTGAGAGATAATAGTTCCTTCCAAATCTAGTAGAATATGTTTTAATTAAAAAAAGAGTGTTCTAAAAATGCATTTAAATATATCTATAATATTTTTTATTATCATGTGTGGTGTTTAACATTGTTTTGGAGGTCTGGTTTTAGGTGTAAGTTAATTTTTTTCCATTTTTTGTAGATACTTCATCTAGTTTACTGATCAATGGTTGCCATGAGAATGCTTTATTTTTACTTTAAATTTCATATATTGTTGAGTTATAACTAGCCTCGATTATAAATTTTGGCAGGAGTGAACAAGTGTTTATTTCTATCTTGCATTTAAAAATTATTTTGCTTTAGTATTGCTGTTTTTTTGTTTTAACTATATTGATTTTCAGCCAAGCATTGTTTTGGTGGCTTTATTTTATTTTAAATTAGTTGTTATATTGTCTGATTATTTGTTTACAATGTGAATATTTATTGTTTTTTTTTTAAGTTTGTTTATCGTTGGTTTGAGTTGCACCCTGTTTTAAAGTTTAATCAAATGGAGGGTTTAATGATATATATTTATATTTGGTTCGAGTTACACTTTGTTTTAAAGTTTGGTCAAATAGAGAGGGTTTGATGATATGTTTATAGTTGGTTATAGTCGCACCTTGTTTTAAAGTTTAGTCAAATATAGAGAGGTTCAATGATATGTTATTATGGCGCTCAAAAAGTATAATATATAGTTTTGAAATTAATATATAATGTATGAAATAATCTAGCTGTGAAGGAGAGGAATGGTAGTTGTACTTTATATTAACCCCTAAATTATTTGCTCTTCATAGCATATTCGTGTCTACTGTGTAGAAATTCATATTATCAAGCATAAAATCATATTATCAAATTTTATCAATGGGAGGCGGCATCTGTGTTTACAAAGAGGTGATAGTTGAGTGGCAACTTGTTTTAGAGCATGTGGAGAAATTGCGTGGAGTCTCTGAAATGTGATGAAAAGAATGAATTAAAATCATTTATAATTTAAGGGTACACTTGTGCACTGTATATGAAGATATTGAAGAACTTGTGCACTGTATATGTATTATATCTAAGTCTTTAAAGTAGCAAAATTTTATAAAAATTTCAAAAATAATAGAAAAAATTTATGAAAACACAAATTTAAGAAATTGCTTTTAAAAAACTATTAAAAAAGTTTATTTTTTGTTAAAAACAATAGTTTTAAAACAATAGTTTTAAAGCCATAAAATTTAAACTAATAGTCTATATATGATATAAAATTATTATTATTTTATATATAGATTATTATTTTGACTTAACAGTTATATATGTTATGTTTTTTTACATAAAAAATTTTATATATTAAAAAATCATTTATTAGCCATGCAAAGCCAGGTATCTTATGCTAAGGCTCGGACGCCAACTGATGCTTGGAGTGGATTTGGATTTTCAAACTCCATGCCAGAAATTATCATTAAAGATTTGGTAAGAATAAATAATGTTTATAATCAAGTTAATAATGAAAAATAATGTTTATAATCAAGTTAATAATGAAAAATAATGTTTATAATCAAGTTAATAATGAAAAATAATGTTTATAATCAAGTTAATAATGAAAAATAATGTTTATAATCAAGTTAATAATAATAAATGTACAAGAGGTAACATTAAAAGTATCAAATCATTAAAAACATAACAAATAAAATTATAAATACAAGTTATTTCTTTTGAAATTATAAATACAAGTTATTTCTTTTGAAATTTTGTGCTTTTATTTTTTTAATTAAGAATTTTAGTTTTAGAACTAAGTTTGTCTAGATACAAAGGAAATACTTTTTATTTCAGTTTTTTTGAACACCAAAATGATAAAATTAATTTTATAAGTATATGTTATTATTTTAGTTTATTCATAAATCAACTACTATGTTTTCTTTTTTTTCTTTTCTTTTTTTTATGGGCTGCATAGCCTGTAAAAAAAGTTCAAAAAAAATTAGACTTATAAATCTTTCAAATTCACAATTTCGGTACTATTTAGTTCTTGCTATTTGTAGTCAAACACTACTATAGTTTTTCTTTTCACAAATAGAAAATTTATTTTACAATGAGTTTATCAAGTATTACTTTCATTTTGTATATTTTGTATTACTTAAATTTTAGTTCAGTGTTTTTTTGGTCTTCTAGATGTTTACAATGAATTAAAACAGTCCCCACAATCAAAACAGTCCCACAATCAGGCCAATTTAATAGAGATGAATAGAAAGAAAGAAATTTTTTAAATAATTTAACTATTATTAAACAATGAGCTCCAATTAAACAATGTAATGCAAATTGTTTTGCTGGCATATTTATTAAATGTTAGTTTTAAGCTAGGCTTTTTATTTATTTATTTTTTTTTTGTAGTGGAATGCTCGAGAAAAACAGAGTAATCAACGCCTACATGAGATAAAAGTATGCTTTATTTATTTTAGTACTTTTTTTTAAAAAATTTTAGAAAAAAACTTTAAAGTAATAATTTAAAAATATATTTCTTACTTTGATTAGCAATCTCCTGATGGATCATTTAGTTCTTCTTGCGGCTCTTCAAATGAGCTAACCCCCTCTGTAGTTTCTCAAGGTCTACATTCTTCAGAGACATGTCTTTCTAACTTTAAAAGTAACAGTCATAGAAGTGTTTGTAGACCACCTCCAGGATTGGAAGATGTAAATAAAAAAAATTTAATTTTTCTTTTTGTAATTTATAAGTGTAACAAATAACAAAATATTGTTCCGCAAATATTTTTTTAGAGTCATCCATCTCTAGAAAACTTGATATTGTTTAATGACAGTCGTAAGTTAATAAATTATTTTTTTAAATCATTAATTTAATAAATTATAATAAATTATTTTTTTAAACCAATAATTTTATATAATATGTAAGTATGTATACTACACCAAAAGAAGTATGAAGAGAAAGAACTTCAATTACTAACTGATGCTTTCAAAATGGTTGCATCTCAAGACTTTATCTGTTGTTTGAAAATAAAGGAACAGAAAAGTTTATTCTTTAGAAAAAAAATAAACAACCTTGAAAGTTAGCATTAATTGTTGGGGATGTTGCTGATAGTGTTACAAATAAAAATTTGGCATTAAAATAAATTATTAAGACAACTTTTCAACTGTTATTTTATGCATGCTACATTTTTTCCTCAGATAATAAAACGTCTTTATTAAATATATTTTTTATATTTAAACTACCTTAAAATTGAAACTAAAGTAGATATTGAACAAATTTTTTGTTTGTAAGAAAAATCTTTTTTAAAAAAATCTTGCATTTTGGATTTCATCCAAAAAACATAAAACTGTATGTAAAAATGTTATCTAACATAATTACAAACAATATCTAAAAAATTAAAGGCATCTAGTTCTTGCTTTAGGTTATATGTAGATCTTATTTGTACCTTGACTGATTCTTTATTCATCCAAATCCAAATATATTAAATTTACCGAGCTGGCCAGGGCAATAAATCTACTTTGTTTTCTTTCATCCACATTTTTATTGTACAAGCTGTGTGGGCAGCTGTTAAATCTTGTTAAAAATTGCTACCATTCATTTCAATCAATCTATATATGTATGTTGGTTGATTCAGCCTATATAAATGTTACACACGCCTACTCAGGCAACATTAAAGCAAATATTAACACTCCTGCTAACACACCTTGCAACCTCAGTACAACAAAGCAATTTCTATACTTTCCCAATTTAAATCTTCTAACATGAATTTTACTTTTTTATTTATTACTTCAAAGTTACTTTTATCAAATTACTTGCTTCCACTTCCCCAAAGTACACCCAATTCTCTTCTTACACCACCTTAATTTTGTGAGCCAATCACTGGCCATCATCATAGGTCTTCTAATAGCTGCATACATATATATATATATATATATATATATATATATATATATATATATATATATATATATATATGTGTGTATGCAGCTGCATACATTTTTCATGGCTTTTATTGAATATGTTGGTAAGTTCATGATAACCTTGGATTGGCTCTTGCTTAACAAAATGTAAGACTATTTTGGCACTCAGTTTTTTTTTAGCTTTTCTGATCCAACATGATGTTGGATGTCACTGGTTGTTTTAAATGTCTTTAGAGTATATCTGATGCGATTCTCTGAAATTTTTAATTTTCTTGCAGTTTTTCTATTAGTGATTATTGAGCCATCCTTCATACTTATTATTTGCCACTTTGTTGCTTCACTTACTGCTTTTCGATCCGTTTCTTAACTTTCAAATCTTATTAAAATATTTATAAATGCAATAAATGTGACTGGTCATCATAAGTAAATTTATTCAACCTTTTATAGGAAATTGTCAAATTAACATAATTAATAAATTATTAAAAAATGTTGGGTTGAGAAAAATGTAGAATGGAAATCAATAAAAAAGTTTGTCTTTTATTTTTAATGCAACCTTTTCTGATATGTTCTCCCTATTATTTTAATAAAAGTTATTTTAAAAAATGAACTTGTTATTGACATATTAATTATAGAAATATATTTGTATATTTTTTAAAAAATATTTTTGATCTTTTTTTACCTTGATTTAGATGACTACAGTTCTATGATGCCAAATATATCTGGAAAATCTGCATTTAGTTGTTCAAATGTTAAATGTATGATTTTTAAAAATAATTTTATTCTGTTTAATTTATTTTTGTTATTGCGTTTATTGTAAGTGTAATAACTCATAATTATGTTATTTTATGTTATTAAGTGTAATAACACATAAATATGTTATTTTTATAAATTTCATTTATAAAATCACCTTTTCAAAGACTAGACTAAACTTTACATTTATCATTCTTTGGTGTGCTATAGTTTTCCTATCAATTACATATCTTATACTGTCTTGTACAAAATCCCTACTTTGCTTCTGTCATGTTGTGAACAGCTTAATGTAGCAACTGAGTTAAATTTAAATGAATACATTTTATATAGATAATGTGCCTATTTCAGCTTTTCAATGTTACAAAAGTAATTTCAAAAATACCTAGAGTTTTTTTGCTTTAATAAGAATTCATTAATAAAACAGTCAGTATAACATTTTTTTTTTAGAGAAATGGAAACATCAAGTTAAAAGTAAACATTGATATTTTAAGAATATTGGTCTCCTCTATGAATACTTTAGTCAGGGATTATCTTTTTTTGGATAAATCAGAAATTCCAGATATTTCTTGACACTTTTAGTTTTTCCAGAATTCCAAAAAGTTTTCCTTAAATACAAATTTAAATATATATTTTTGCAATATATATGTTTTTCAACTTTTTTTTAGTCAACTCCCATTCAAAAAATAAGAAAAGTTTCAAAAAAACTCAGAAAGCATCTGTTAAGCTAAATTAAGACAAGTTTGAGTGAAATAAATTCCAAAATTTTTTTTGTATTTTCTTTGATTTGTTGGGTTTTTTAAAATATGATCTGAATTATCTCTGGCTTTTGTAGTTTTCAAGAGAGTAACATTCACTGAAGACTCTAGGCTCAGATCAACCTTGTTTGATTATCATAATTTATAATTTGATTATCATAAGTTAGATTTAAGCAGCTTTGTAAGTCTTGAAGTCATTGACTGCTAAAAAAAAAAAGGTTTTTTAAACAGAACAGTTCCAGTAAAAAAATGCAACCAGCACAAATATGACAACAGTTTTTCATCCAAGGTAAGAGATTTATACAGATTTTACAGAATAAAATCATATTAAAATGGCAAGCAGAATAATAATGGCAACCTTAGCTAAATTTACATATGACTAAGTTAACATCTGCTTAGGTTTGGATATGTAGTCTCTATGAGATATAAGTAGTGAAAGATAAAGAAGACAAAGTCTCTCAAAAACTTTTGCTATTCATCATAAGAATATTAAGATATTAGAAGTATAGTGAAAAGCTTATGGGCAAAACCAATGTCAGGCGTTATCAAAAACCTTTGATATGTTGAGAACAATAGCTCTTGCTTGAGAACCTTTTTATTATCATGGTTAACAATTCACCTGTAGAGCCAGAAAATTGAATGCTGTATTGATTGTAAGAGAGTTGATGGATATTAAAGATGAGATCTTAAAAGTTAATTAAAGTTTCAAAGACCTTGTTATTAATAGTAAGTAGACTGATTTTGAATGAACTGATTTTGTTGATAGTCAGTAATCTCCAGAGTTTTTAAAAACTGGAACCACAAGTGTCACTTGTTAAATAGTTTTAAATAAGGGAGTTTTGAAGATTGTTTTGGAAACAGCTATATAAAACTGTTGCAGGTTGTCTAGGTTGCAAGCTGTAGAAGAGTTTAGGAAATAACTTAATTAACAAAAGCTGGATTTGAACACTTTGAAAATTTTCAAAAGTCTTTAGAACCTAATTTCTGAGATAAAATGCAAGATCTGTTTAAGTTTAAAGTAATCTAAGAATAATGAACCTTCAGTTAATTTCAGTCAGCGTCAGTTAATAACTTTTGTAACAGTTTCTATAACAATAAAAAGATATCATTTGTTAAAAAATATCATATTGTTATCAGATAGTTTTACTTGTGGAAAAATAAAAAGAAATGATTTCAATTAAAAACAGTACAAGAATGAGAAAACTGGGTAAAGTGAGGCATAGAGAATTCGAGCAAGGCTTAACTTTAAACTGACAAGAACGAATGAAAGTTTAATCTCTGACTGAATCAAAGAGGTTATGAAGAAGGCAACATTTTTAGAAGTGATATTAACTCAAGGGTCATCATTTAGAAAATCAAAAGAAAATTAGTTTTAAGGTAGTAGTAAAATTAATGAGTTTGACATGTTGTTTCTAAGAAGCAACAAGCCTTTTATTTAAGTAGATGAAATAAAAACTAAGTGTGCTTTATTACCTTTTTTTTTTCTTTTTTTTTATTATTATTTTTTTTTTTTGCACTTTCTGTTTCTTCCAGTTTTGTTAGCAGAAAGTAAAAGAAAAAATAACTTGTTGAGATAATAGGGCTTTAGTTAATCCCATATTATTTCTTATTAAAAATTAGTCCCATATTTATACCCATATAAATATGGATACAATATGAATATATTGATATCTTTAAATATTTTACCAGTTTCTAAATTACTAAAGCTTCATCGTTTTTTGATTGCTCAAGGTTAAAAAAGCTTATAACTGATTTCTTTGTTTTTAAGCTTTCTTAACTTCTTAAATCTTAAAGTTAGGTATATAAAGAGCATATTTTATACATCCTGCTTTATGATTTTATGAAGTCAAGAAAGCTTATAACTGATTTCTTTGTTTTTATATGCTCTTTATACATTCAATTTTAAGATTTTTCCAGAATGTTAAATAAAATAATGCAATCACTTATGTTCAGATTACAATAGTTTTTACTCTTGTTGATAAACTCTCTACCTATTTTTAATTAACTGATATTTAAGATTGTTTACAAGGCTAAATATTAACAGAATTAATCTGTTATGCTTTCTCTCATAAATTTAGTTGTATAAATTTTGTCATAAGTTTTGTTTGGACACAACTTCTTGGGTCCAAACTTATTAGAGTTTTTAAAAGATAAATAGACCTTACAATAATTTGTTGTTCAATTTAGCCTGGCAAGTGATGTTTTGGGATATAAAAGCTTAGAAAGGAAAAATTATAATATACTTAAAATAGAAAACAAACAAAAATACTAATATATTACATTGCATCTATAAATTAAATTTTCCTAATGAAAATCTGAACTATAGCAAAACAGTTGCTATGTGTAAGTAACACAGTTTTGTTGCTATGTGTAAGTAACACAGTTTTGTTGCTATGTGTAAGTAACACAGTTTTGTTGTTGTATGTAAGTGTAATTTTAATACAGTGTAAGTGTAGTGATACTGAAGGGCATTGCAGTAGGAAAATAAATTTGTTTTTATTAAATTTAGCGCACTTTGCAGGCACTTATTTTACTCCTAAATTTGTGTAGATGCTCAGTGGTATTTCTCTCGAGTTGAATAGGTTTTTTGCTCAAGGGGATTTATTTAAAATGATATAAAATAAGTTAAAGGCAAGAACTTCTTTTGTTTTGAGTAAGAATAATGAAGCTATTTACACCTACAATGTTTATGAGATGGTCCAAAAAATATTTTTTACTATTTTACTAAAAATATTTTTTACTATTTAACACACTTCTTCAATAGATATTTGGCAAAATTTTGATTCTAATGGTCAACACCATTTAATTTTATTGGTCAACACACTTTGGTTCTATTAGTTAAAACCATTTGATTCTATTGGTTAACACTATTTGATTTTATTGGTCAGCACTATTTGATTCCATTAGTAAACACCATTTGATTTTATTGATTTATTTAAAAATAATTGTAGTGGTAAACTATAAACTAAGAAGAAAGTTAATATGTGGAATGATATCATTTCTCATATTAACTTTCTTTTTGTGTTTTACCTCAATCATTTAATCATTAGCATTTTTGCACTGATAAAATTTTATAATTACGTTCCCAACACTCTCCTCAGTCTCTTTGGTTCTGCTTTTTTGTCCAAATTTTACCATTTTTCATATTCTCAAATCTTTTTTGAAATCTTTTGTGATTTTCTGTTATTGTACCACAAGATAAAATGTTTTCTCTGTAAAAAATTAGATGAACTGATGCACAAAGACATGATGTCTTTGATTAAGGAACTTGATGTTCAGTACTTGATATATGCTAGTACTGCTGATTTTTTTTTATTAAAATCATATACAAAACCATACATCTAGGGTTAATAAAATGTTGGCATTTTTTGGTTGTTTTACATCCAAAGTAAATTAAAATCTCTTTTAAGTGATTCAAAGTAAAACTTTTGTTTATAATCTATTAGTTGTTATCGCAGAACTTTTTAATAGTTTTTTATATATGATTAATAATTTATAATATTAATTGATATTAAGTTATTTGTGTTTATCTATGACTTTGTAAGTCATTTTAGATATTTTTCCTCCCTATCAATTTCTCAAATAAATCATACGCAAAATAAGATTAAACAGTGACATAGGTATTTGGGTCAGGCTTATCAGCTCGACATCTCACTATTTTTATTATAATAAGTTTATATTTAATATTTTTAATATTTGTTGTATTGAAATGAATTACACTTTGAAATAAATAATAATCTAAAGAAATCTCTTTAATGCTTATTTTTTTCAAATTGACCAAGGTCATGAGCTAAGAAATTAACCATATAAACAACCTTTGTATTTATAAAAGATAAAAATACAAAGGTTGCAGTTAAGAGGCATCCATAAAGTACATACACAGTAAAATCGCTGCTTTAGGGCTCCACTTCACCCCTTCCAGGTACCTCTATGCTTTCAATGATCCCCACCTCCACTGCGTACATGCGCATTATTTATTACAAAATCTCCAACACAAATTTTTAAAGCATTTATAGTTTATTTAACAATTTTCTATTACATACAAAAAATCGATTTTTTAAACTCATAAAAAGAAATCAAGTTTTAGGAGAAATAGAAAATGAGAGTCAAACCGCGAATATACTTGCTGTTTTTAACACCGCCCCTTGATTGCATTAAACTAAATTAAAAGTATTGAAATTTTTTGCATTTTTACATTATTCAAAAATATATTTTCTTTTATTTATACACAAATGCAATTGTAAAATATTAGTTATTACTTTTAAAAAAAATGTAATAATTAGCTATCAAAGACATATTTAATATTTAGAAAGTTTTTTAAAATACGTAGCTTACTTGGGTTATTTGGCCAAATCTTGGTTAAATTCCTTTATTAATTAACAATGATTTTGGGAGGTTGTGTCGGCAATTAGTTTTTTCAGGAAACAACATAAGTATTTTTTAAGCATTGTCAGTGGCATGTTTTTAAAATACATTATAGATAAACAAGCTTTTAATATAAGCAAACAGACAAACAAAAAAGGTTTTAAAAAGTCTTATTAAAAACGAGACTTGTGGTAATAAGAAAAAATAACTGTGCATGAAAAAATAGGCATTTTAAATCAGGCTTCAATGCATCTTTATTCTACTCTCAGAATTCTACAGATAATCCAGGTTCCAGCTATTTGATTCATATAATTAAACATTTAAAGCTAACTGTAAAGAACCCATTGGTGGCCAATAAAAGTTTACAATAAAGGAACACAACAGGTGTGCTGAATTATAGTGTGACAGGTGACTGTCATATTGTTATTCTTTTGGGTAAGGGTGCTAAATGATTTCAAACCATCAACTTTTAGCTGATTTTTTGAACTTTGCTATTTCATGTGACATAAAGTTACCCAACATTATAATGTGGGCTTAAGTCTCGTGCTCCATGAATCTCAACAGCATCAATACTAAAATTGTATTCAATATTAACTAAAAGAGTAAATAAAAAAATAAAAACTATTTTGGAAATGAATTAACATGTTTGTTTGTTTTTTTATCATTGTTCCTTATTTTTGTTTACATTAGTTTGTTCTTATGGTGTATTTGGTGTTTCTATGTGGTGTACTATATGTTTCAACCCTCGGAAAGACAAACTGTTAGATTAAGGCATTAAGTCGGCATTAAGTCGGCAGAAAAAGGAGTTACCATAAAACAAATAAATGAGGTCAGCAATTATTAGCCGAATGCCGACCCTAATTCCGAGAGTTGATGTTTGGTGTTGTTATAGTGTACTCTACATTTGGTGTTCTTATTATGTACTACATTTCTTCAAAAGTTTTCTTTTGATGATTACTAATTTATTACAATTAATTTAAAATGTATAATTATGATTAATTACAACTACTTAATTTAATATTTTTTATTGATGTTTATAAATTTAATTAATTTTATAAAATAAAGAATAAAGTATATTATTAAAGAATAATGTTTAATTTAATTAATTTTCAGCTATTGGAGAATTGTTTTCAAAGCTTGGCCTAGAGCAGTATACAGAAGCATTTCAAAAAGAAGAAGTTGATCTTTCTACCTTTATGTCTCTAACTGATGACGATTTAAAGGAACTTGGTGTAAGTACTTTTGGTGCGCGAAAAAAGATGTCAAATGCAATGAAAGGTAAATATTTGCACTTATTAAATTTCATTTATTACATTACATTTTTATGTAAAAAAAAAAAAAGAATGTTTATAACATAAAAGTATATCGAACTCGTTGTCATAGATTTTATTACATCAGTTTCATTACAGAAAAATTAACCTATGTTTTTTGCGGTAATAGAGTTCAATTTCTTGTGGTAATTAATAATCTGTTTAAATTATTTTGTTGCAATGTCTTTTTTAGGGTAAAGGTTTGGTTATATTATTATATAGATTAAATATATATTAAAAGGTTTTCACAGATATTATTTTTTTAATAAGTGTTGGGGGGCAAAACGCTTATTTTTATGGAGAAACTGCAAGCTTATAATATCTTAATTGTGTCAATGCTAAATTTAATCTGTCATTTTGAAAAGGATATTTAAACTTTACAGAATCAACAAAGATGTTTTTTATTTTTAAAAATGGTGCTACTAAAAGGTAGAAATTTCTCCCTTAAGGTAGGATACGTGATATCACCTTTGAAAGGTATAGCTTTCTACCGTCTAAGGTAGAAAATTGCATTACAAATTATTATTTTTCATGTAATTTTTTACCTCAGAAGGTATAAAATTATACCTTACTAAGGGTTTATCACAAATCCTATCCTAAGATTAAATTTTCTACCTTTTTTTTTGTGTGCAGTTTTAATGATTTTATTAACGAACGTGTTCTTTTCGAAATGACAGATTCAAATGTGCTGCTATATTAAGTTTAATATTGTTCAATGAAGCTCCTGCTTAAGCCAAATTTCTGATGAGCTTAATTTAGCATTTAAATTTGACTAAAAATTAACAACGCTGCTTCCAATGATAATTTATGCTCTAACGATAATTACTTTAGGTGAAATAAATATTTGGTACTCGTTGTTTTAACTAGTTTTTACCTGAATTATTATATATTTTTTTTTAAACAAAAATATTGTTAAAATCTTATAGAACTGAATAAACGAAATTCTTCAATACAAGATCATCTGCCTACAAATTCATCTACTGGTGGTCTTTACCGCCATCTTGACGTGGCTGCCCACAGCCTAAGATGGTAATTGCAATCTCGATTAAACGAAATAAAATGAAAAAAACGACTGAAAAATCTAGAGTGGATTTTGATATCAAATATAAATATGTAACGACCAGGCTTTATCGTTTGAGATAAAATGCTTATGTGTGTGACACCAAAAAGTTCCGTTGCAAATAATGGAACTTTTTGCTGAGCTGAAATAGATTTCAATTTATATACATAAATTTAAAAAAATATGTTTAATCTATATATATATATATATATATATATATATATATATATATATATATATATATATATATATATATATATATATATATATATATATATATATATATATATATATATATATATATATATATATATATATATATATATATATATAACCAGCATTTTTATATTTTAAAAAAGTGTTATTTGACCTTAATACGACCAGTATACGCTCCAAATATTCATTTTTTTATGGCTTGGAGACTAACTTCTAGAAAAGCATTTTTTTTTTAAAGTGTGAAGAAGCTGCTGGTTATATTCATTTATCCATAATCCCATGTGTTTGTGTGTGTGTGTGTATATAAATGCACACACAAACATACACGTACATTCATGCATACATCCATACATATATACATAAATATAGAAAAGTATAAATTTTTTTTTAAACAATTTTTGAAATAGTTTTAAGTTGTACTAAATGCTTCTTTGTCTAATAATGATAAAATCGTATAATAACACTGAATAACGACATTCTACTTTGTACTTTTAAAGATATGTAATTATTGTTTTTATTATTTGGATTTTTCTTTGATACTTTTGGATTTTTAAAAATATGATGTAAATATTTTGTTTATTTAGTTGTTTTGTAATTTTTAATACCAATTTTTCACTCTTGTTATGAACAATCCTTCACTTTTTTTTTATTTACTTTTATTTTTTGGAGAGACGTTTTTATCTTAATAACTCAAAATGAAACTTTTGCAATTTTCATTAGTTTTTTTTTTTTTTTTTTTTTTTTTTTTTTTTTTTTTTTTTTTTTTTTTTTTTTTTTTTTTTTTTTTTTTTTTTGAAAACAACTTTATTTTTAAATCTTGAAAATGGATTGGAAAAACTTCCCTTTTTTTGTGAATATAATAGTTTTAGATTGTAGTTTATTTTGCTTGTATATAGTTTTCTGATCCATGAAACATGGTATATGGAATATTGTGAATATAAAGCACTTGAATTTAAAGTCAATATAAAATATCAACGTGGTTTTTTGTTTTTGAAAGATCATAATTATGCAAATCTCTTTTCTTAGATATCTATTTTTGACATTAAATTTCCGTTTTTATGTTCACTTGACGCATCGATTAAATTCATCGATCTTGCAGGAGTTCTTAAGGCGAGTTTCCACTCATCCGGGAACGGGAAAGGGACGGGAAAAATAATCACGTGAGCATGCGTAATTAAAGATTTTATTTGTCCGTTAGGAAACTGCGCATGCTCACGTGGTTATTTTTTCCTTTCTTATCCCGTTCCCGTGAAAAAACGGATGAGTGGAAACTCACCTTTAATCAATTCAGGAAAAATCAGTTATATTGATCAGGCATTGAAAATTATCAGTAAAAATTTTTTGGACTTTTTAATAAGATAAAAAATTTTATTTTTTAAAAAGGTTAAAAAAAAGTTTAATGAATAATCTAGTTTATGTTAAGGTGGTTCATACCCTTAAAAAAAGTTTCAAAGAAAACTAGTTATTTTAAGTGCTTTTTTTAGTTGACCTATATAAATTAATAAACAATTTCCATTAAACAAAAAAAAAAAAAAATTATTTTTGTCTCATTAATTCATACTTTTTTGCTTAAAAAGACAAAATTTAAATCTGCGATTAAGCAAAAAAGGCTTGCTTTTTGATCCTAAAATTTTCAGGCTATTATTATTAGGTAGTTACACAGGAGTTGAAGCAGATTGAGAAATTTCCTACTTGTTTTACAAAAATTATTACGAAAATTGAAAAAAAAGGCAAGAACTCAATAGGGGTGTATACAAGAAAAGCTATTATATCTACATTTTTGAATATTTTGGCTTGATTCTGCTTCAACTCCTTCACAATACCACCTGTACAATTGTACCCTGAAAATTTCAAATCATTTGGATAATCAGATCGAAAGATATTCAAAATCTAAAACTGAAAACAACTAAAAAAAGAAAATAGGTTAAAACTAAAGAGAAAAATGCAATAAAACAATTAATAAGCACCAGCTGCATAAGCTGGTATAGTTTCACTTTGCTCTTCTTCATCCAAAAATCCTTTCCTAATGGCTCTCAGTTTCTTTCTTCTCTCAATTCCCTTTTTAGTGCACTTTTTGTTCATTAATGTTATCCTTTGATTGTCCATTTTCGTAGCATTATTAATAAAAAAAAAAAAATTATTTGGTATTCCAAGCTCAAAATAAACAGATTCCAGTCCTATAACTCCATCATTAAATTCAATAATAGCTGAAAATACAGATAACTCTAGTACTTTCTTAGATACAAACACAGTTTTAAGGCATTTTTTCCAAATCACATTATTCAATGACTCGTTGTTATTTTGTGTTTGTCCATGTAAGCATTTGTTAAGAAGTTCATCTTTTGAAAGATCTTGAAATACTGGTATCAGAAGAGATTGAGCAGCCGTGGCGCAGTGGTTAGAGTTCTGGCTCAGAACCCAGAGGTCCGAGGTTCGACGCCAGCTCTAGCCCAACAAGCGACATTGGTACGGAAGGAGGCGTGAACTTCCTGTTAAATGCTCTCCCGCGGTGCTCTATGATAAGACCGTAAGGACTTCTGGGAGCACCTAAATACATACACAAAAAAAAAAAAAAAAAGATTTAATAGATAGTGGCAAACTTAGTTTTTTTTTATATGTTGATTTTTGAGTAATTTGTCTGATTGCCAGGCGCACCACCCATTTATTGTACGTGGACAGAATTGATGACGAGATACTTCATCCAAAATTTCACAAAATTTCACTTTCTTTTATGTTTTGAAAGAGTTGATCTAGGCATACTTTAATTAATTTTTTCTAAAATTAAACACCCTTGATTTATTTTTATTAGGAATATATAACAACAATAGCAATAAACAAACGAGAATCACTTGGCAAATGTAAAGACTGCAAATTAAAAAACTCTAATTTCACGTGGTAAAAAATGTTATTTTAAAGTATGGATTTTAAAATAAGTATTGTCTTGCTTTCTAACACTTTTTGTATCTTGTTAACACAAGTTTTCAAGCTGTAATGAAATTTATTTCAATATCAAGGAGCCGTTGCTATGGTGTTGCTAAGGGCGTGATTTTTTGTTGGGTTGCACAAAAATGAATTTTGGTCAACATTTTTAATATTTTTATAAATTCCAATAACATATTTGAATTTATCATAAAATTTTGCATAATAAAAAACCAAAATATTATTTTTGGATTTTTGACTAAAAATAAGGGTATGAACCACCTTAACAACTAACTTATTAATTTACAAAACTATGAAATAAAATATGCGCTTGGAAATAGCTTTTGGACAAAAGTATTCGTAAAATTTCGTGATCTTACACCAAAATCAGCGAAATAGATTAATGTCATCCGCAATTTTCCCCTATTTGCGTTTCACGTTTGCCTAAAACTTTTAATAGACGAAGTTGTGACACGATTGCTGGATTCATATTTTTTTGGACAAATTAACGTCATTTTGTTGATGCCGTGAAATTACTATTATTAATAGTAATTGTAGGACGGGCGGGTCATCATGCTTATGTATCATAGGCTAAAATCTCGTTTATTATCATTTTTTCACGTAAACATTGGAGTTAATGTTTAGTTGGTGAAAAATGGTTGAGTTTTGAAACTACACAAACAGAGGCTTGCCAAACCAAAACTTCTTGACAATTTTCTTATTTTAATTGTTTTTAGCAAAACTTCAGGCTTCGTTCCTTTCAAAAATGTTCAGAATTGCTGGCCTAGGAACTTCAAACCATCAGTTTGCAGTAGACTTCATTACAATTCATTTGTGATTTCTTTTAATTTTTTCTCGTAGCAATATTCAACCCCGTTTGTGGTCTTAGTTGAACTGCTGTCAGAATCTTTCAGGCAATTTCTGCTCATTGTATGCCTTGTACCAATATCTCTTTTTGACTTTATGGATTGTCGACTTAGGAAGACCTGTATTTATGGATTGTCGACTTAGGAAGACCTGTATTTATGGATTGTCGACTTAGGAAGACCTGTATTTATGGATTGTCGACTTAGGAAGACCTGTATTTTATTATTTATTCGATATCTCGAACAGAGTACTCTGGATTAACATTGAACCACCTAATAACTTTTCAATGAAGTTTTCTTTTTTTTTTCTCAACTTTTTTTTTTTTTCCTCAACTTTTCTTCTTTTTTTCTCAATCTTCTTTTTTTTTTGAATTTTTTGAACTTTATGCTTTTTTTTTGCAAGCAAAATAATTAAAACATTACAATTTTTAAGCCACTCATACAAAATGAATTTTCTTATTTGCAAGTATGTATTCTTTGTTTACAATCAGGTTTTTTAAAAATTCAGTTGTACTTTTTATCTAATGGATCTAATTTGTCCAGTCTAATGGATCATTATTTGTGCAGACAGTCTTCAAAATCTTCTTAAATTTCTTAAAATCTTCTTAACTGCAATCCAACAATATTCGTTCCAACAATATTCGTTCGTTCGTTCTAACAATATTCGTTCGTTCGTTCCAGCATTCGTTTGTTTTTTTTTGTTTTTTCTATTATTGTTTAATTCTTAAAATATTTAAAATACAGATACAATTATATAAAAAAGAAAATTACAAGTAAACTATCGATAAAAAAAAGCAAATAGTCAAAGAAGACTATCAGGTCTTGTCAAAAAAAAAACTTGAAACATTTTTTGTTATGGTATTAAGGGTAGATTAGGGTAATATGAGCACCTAAAGCAAAAATTAGAATATTTTCGAAAATAGTTATACTGGATCCAAAATTTTTGCGAATAAACAATTTTTAGGGATCCCTTCGTACATTTACATACATTTCATACAT